CCCCTCCTTTCCCTGCTGACGCTTCGCCAACGCCTCCTCCACCTCCTCCCTCTTCTCCTGCCCCCCAGTGGATGGGGGCGTGTGCAGCCGTGGAGACTCATCCTTGTGGTCCTCAGACCCAGACAGAGTTCCTGTGTCCAGGAAGGACAGGGCGTCTGAGGCCACCTCCAACTCTGGGCTCAGATCAGCCGTCTCTGGAGGAGTTCCTCTGACTCCTCCGTTACTCTTTCTCCTCTTTTCCTCTCCTGCCCAGATTCCATTACTGTCCCCACCTCCCTGTGAGAATCTGCCCCCCCCCTGCTGCTGCAGCCTGATGGTCAGCTGGATGTCAGCGAGCAGGTCCTCATGGTCTGCAGCAGAATGGAAGCTGTAAATGTCCGTGTCTGACCCTGAGCTCCCCACTTTATTTCCCACGTCCTCTGCGGGTGAGGTTGCAGCTGTGGAGGTTTTTCTCTGGCTCTCCTTCTCCTTCTCCTTCTCCTTCTCCTGTGGAGGACCTTTCTTACTTCCTGGCTCCAACTTCTTCTTCTTCTCAGGAAAAGCAGCCTCGGTGTCCGACTGACCCAGCTCGTCAGCTGACAGCTCTGGGGTCTTGGTGGTGTCCAGGTCGTCATGTTGAGACCCCAGCACCTCCTCCTTTGACCCTGTGACTGAGGAACTCCCGTCTCCCTTTCCTTTCAGGTTGCCCTTCCTCTTACGGATGGAGAAGACGGAGGACTTGGACTCTGGTTTGTTTTTCTTCTTGCCTGCTCCCACACCATGAACTCCGCCTCCACCTCCTCCTCCACCATTGTTTGCTCCTTTACCTCCATGTTTACTGTGGACTTTCTTTCCTCCCTTCTTGCTCACGTCTCCTCCTCCTCCCCCCTCTTTCCATCCCTCATCCGGAGAGGGGTAGCTTCCATTTCCTGACGCTGCAGCTGCAGCTTTCCTCTGCTTCGCCTCCTGGTTTCCCATGGTGATGCAGGTTCCTTCAGGCCATGTCTGAGGAGGTGCTTGGCTCCTTTTGAACCTCTGCAGGTGATGTTGTTCTTTTTATTTGTATTTTTTCCTCTCCTCCGTCTCTCTGTTGTCTCCTCGTCGTTGTTTTCCGGTGACGAAGGCTGGCGTGGCAGTGATGCTGCCACTGAAGCAGGAGAGACATGCAGCTCCCTCTCCTCCTCCCTCTCCTCCCCCTCCTCTTGCTGCTGCGTTTCCTCTTCTTTCTCTCTCTGCTCCACCCTCCCCCTCCTCCTCATCTCTGCGCTGTAGCAGTGACGTAGACGTCTCATTTTGTTCGCTCATTGGAGGGAAACTGGGAGACGGATGTGACTCCAGGCAGTGAGCTGCTGCTACGTCAGACACACCCCCCCCCCCCCTCCTCAGCACTGGTCTTCACAAAGATTCACTACATTTCCCATCATTCCTAGCCCTGAGATACCCACAATCCCTTGTGTGAACTGGAGGTAAAAGATCAACGAAGAAAGCCTCCACCCATGGGTGGATGTTCATGTTCTGATGTCAAACTCCACTCCACCGCTGTCTCCTCAGTGAAGGAGCAGGTTCCTCCTCATGTCACATGATCTTCCTCAGCAGATGGAGTTACCATGGAGACCTCACAGTGGGTGGCTGTGAAAGAGGCATGAACCAGATGGTGTTGAAAAGCCCAGTCTTGGCTCCTTAGTGACATCTAGCGGTCAGGCTGTAGACTGCAGCCAACAGCAGAACCTGCTGAAAACCCATGATAAATGGATATGGAAACACCAGGGATCGAACCTGTGACATTCTTGCTGTAATGCAAACATGCTAACCACTTCCCCCACAGTGTTCCACTTCTTCTTAACCAGTAGGGTTTAATAGTAGTAGTGTCAGCAGTAGATCATTAGACTGTGCATCAGATAAGGACACACTACAGTGAAGTAGTACTACCATCAGTACTTCAAGTCTGAAACCACTAGAAAACTCTACAACAACCAAACCTTTAAATCCACATGGGGCGCAGATTCTTCTTTGTACCGCTAGAGGGAACCAAAGTACCACTGGTAGTGTACGTACCACAGTGTAAGAAGCACTGTTTTGGTATATTGTAAAAATGTCCAGTGAGCAGAACCACTCTGACCAATCACAGTGGGTGATGAGTGTCAGTGGAGACCAGCCGTCACCAGGGTCAGGTTGTCAGAAACAGTGTCAGTGGAGACCAACCGTCACCAGGGTCAGGTTGTCAGAAACCTGAAGGTCAGAAAGGTCAAGAAAGGTCAAGAAACAGAAGAAAAGAATAATAGATAAAAAATAACTTCACATTCATCTTAAGCCAAAAAAGAGCCACATGAAGAAAAGGAAAGGGAAGAAAGGGAACTGGAATAAACCCTGTCTGAGACCAGATCTGGGTCCAGAGCCAGACTTTGGACAAACCTATTCCAATCATTAAAAACAACAAATGAACTGAAACAAATAAAACATAATCATGCACAACAGGTCTATATTTTTAGGTCTATTTGAAGGTCTGTATTAAGTAGATCAGGAATAAACAGCAGAAAAGAGCGAGGTGGTTTTTTCAGACAACATGAGGGTCATGGACCACACATGGAACGCACACAGTCAGCTGAGAATCACTGCATTGTTAAATGTCATCAAATGCCTTTAATTATTTAACATAGCGTACATTTTTAAATATTTGACGTGAATGTGTAGCTAATAATGTGGACACTCTTAGTTCACCACCACGACTATATATAAATAAGAACCTTTATGAGCCAGCCCAAAACTCTGACAAAACTTAGCCTCACTCCCACTAACAGAACCGGTCCTCTTGAGGGACCAGAACATCTTGAGGTGGACTCAGATCAATTCAGGATCTTCTCACTCTGGAGGGCACACCCGCTGCAGTGTTCTCTGGACCAGGTTCTCACACCGGCTCCCTCTTCTGAAACACCACCTTCTTCTTCTGTGCGTTCCTCCTGCTGCTCCTCCACTGACACATCAGCAGGTCTCTGAAGGTGGTCCTGAAGGTCTTGTTGCAGAGGGCATAGCAGATGGGGTTGATGGCGCTGTTGACGTAGCAGAGCCAGTACCCCAGCGCCCACAGCGTGGGTGGGATGCAGTCCTGACAGAAGGTGTTGACCAGCACCATGATGTTGTAGGGCAACCAGGTGGAGACGAAGGCCAGGAGGATGGCGCTCAGCGTTCGAGCGGCCTTACGATCGTTGGCCTTCTTCTCGTTCCTGCGCTTGTTGATTTCCGTCCGGGCCCTGCAGGCAAAGCGTTTGGCCAGAGCTGCATTTTTCAAGGTGATGGTGGCTGGTGATTGGTCAGGAGGAGAGGAGGAGGAGTCAGTTTGACTTTTGATGGAGGAAGACGGCAGTTTGTTCTTGTTTTCTTCAACTTTTGGTGATTTCCTGCCTGATCCATAGATAGAAAGATAGTTTAGGTGAGTTGGTAGTTAATAAACGATACACATTACTGGAATGACACTGATGACCGGACTTTGGTCTGTGAGCTAAAATCACTGATTTCCTCTATGGACTTTGGTCTGAGCTAAAATCACTGATTTTCTCTGTGGACTTTGGTCTGAGCTAAAATCACTGATTTTCTATATGGACTTTGGTCTGAGCTAAAATCACTGATTTTCTATATGGACTTTGGTCTGAACTAAAATCACTGATTTTCTATATGGACTTTGGTCTGAGTTAAAATCACTGATTTTCTCTGTGGACTTTGGTCTGAGCTAAAATCACTGATTTTCTCTGTGGACTTTGGTCTGAGCTAAAATCACTGATTTTCTATATGGACTTTGGTCTGAACTAAAATCACTGATTTTCTCTATGGACTTTGGTCTGTGAGGTTTTACAGAACTGTTCTAAGATCTTATTCTGACCGACTTGAAGAAAGACCAAACCTTTTGGACCTTCTCCATCTTCTGACAGCCTGTGGTTGTTGGAACCATGGCACTGGTTCTGCCCTGTTGTGGTCGTGTTAGGCCTAGACGATGATGATGGAACCTGAAAGCATAAGATCCGGTTCTTCTTCTTCTTCTTCTTCTCTGAGTCTGTCAGGTTGGTATCGTAGCCGCAGCTCTGTGAGCTCGGCTGTCGCAGCAGAGGAAACATCTTCTTCTGCTGTCTTGACAAACCTTCTCTACTGTTGCTCTCCTGGTTCCCCACCTGGTCTGGCCTGGGCTCTGATCCAGATCCTCTCAGACCCTGCACATCTTTAGCTCTCTTCTCCGTCTCCTGGTAGATCTTCCAGAAGAGGACAGCCATGATGGTCACAGGCAGGTAGAAGGCAGCGATGGCGGTGCAGAAGGTGATGATGGGCTCGGACAGGAACTGGATGTAGCACTCGTGGGTCTGGACCGTTCGCTCACCTACGATGAGCTGCCAGAAGAGAATGGCTGGAGCCCAGAGGATAAAGGAGACGGACCAGGCCAATCCGATCATGGTCATGGCTCGTTTGGTCGTACGTTTGACCCTGTAGGTCAGAGGTCGAGTCACTGAGAAAAACCTGAGGGGAGATTTAGAGGAAGAAGAAAACAATGAGGATCAGCTCAGTGTTAGCGCAACGTTAGCTCCACTGTCTGTCCGTGACCTTCTGTCAGAACATCATGACATCACTTCCTGTCACCTGTCGAAGCTGATGACCAGCAGGTTCATGACAGATGCGTTACTGGCCACGTAGTCGATGGCCAACCACAGGTCACAGACCACAGGTCCCAGAGTCCACTGGTCCATGACGATGTAGGTGGTGTAGAAGTTCATGGACAGAGTCCCGATGGTCAGGTCAGCGAAGGCCAGGCTCAGGAGGTAATAGTTGTTGACCGTCTGCAGAGCTTTGTTGATCCTGAAGGACACCAACACCAGGATGTTTCCAACCACGGTGACCAGCGACAGAGACCCGCTCAAGACTACGATGATGACCACCTGAGGACGAAGAATCAAAGACAAGACCACCGATCCACTGGTCCACTAACTGGACTAGAAATGTCCAGTCAGTGTTGGTGGAACTGGTTCTTACCTGCCAGATCATGTGTCCTCCCAGTAGATCTACGCCCCCTACTGGTAGAGCAAGTGTGTTGTTACCAGCAGAATCAGTGACATTTGCTTCTTGTGTCAAGACTCCACTGACGTTGGACCAGTGGACCAGAAGAGAGCTGAGAGACATGACCATGTCCCGGTCCTGGACTGAGTCTCCTACAGAAGAACTAAATATGAACTGACGGAAATTAAATAGTTTCTTTTGTTGGTGCTTAGAAAATAAATCACTAATAGTTGTTGACCTCAGGTTAGATTATATGCTGATGACAATCAACTATCCACCACATCAGTCCAAAAAAGAAACAAGAACAACAACAACCACACACTTTAGGGACTGGTATCTGGTCAGTTTTCATTAACAATATTATGATACGTAGCAGTAGTAGTATTCATAATATTAGTACTATTGTGGTGGTGGTGAAGACAGTACCTGGATTGGCTGACTGGAACATACTGGAATCAGCTGGTTCTGTCGGACTGGGTTCAGATGAAGAACTGGACGTCAGGTTCATGTTGACCTCTTGACCTCTGGAAGCAGAATGTGGAAATTTTCGACACGCTGCAGCGGTTACTATTTCCTTATTAGGAAATGTCTCTCCCCACATACGGCTGGGCCTCTTGGTACCGTTCACTGTTTGAACCACTCGGTACTGACCACACCTTTATTAGTGATTTAATTTTCCAGCTCTGCATTGATGGTTCTAGCATTGATTAGCAAAGCCTGTAAAGAACAGATGACATCACTCCTACAGGCTGAACTAATTACAGCCGCAACCATCAGAGCCGTCAGAGCCTGTGGTGGTCAGGACAGGAGGGTTCATGGGAAAAAAAAGGTCCAGAAATCAACACAGGCACATGGAAAAAACTTTATCAATGTAGTACAGAGAGAGAGAGAGAGAGAGACTGAGAGAGTTAAAGAGAAATGAGAACTGCGGACAATTTAAGTGTTTGTTCTTCGCATCATCAAAAACCACGATGATAAAATCATAAATGAGTAAAGTATTCCACATACAGTACTAGGATGACAGTACTCAGTACTCACTTGACTGTCTTAGAACGCCTCATACTTAACATCCTTTAATTAAAGAACAGTAAGGAATAAAAATGACTGGAGTGAATAAAAACAAACGACAAATATCTGCTGTTGTCACTTCAGTATCAGCTCCTGTGGAAATGTAATGAGAAATGTCACTGGATTTAAAAGATACTTGAAATCAACAACAGAAACAAACTAAGACTAAAGAAAAAAGAATCTGGAATATTTGAAAAATAGGCAAATAGTACTACTACAACTAGTACTATTACTACTACTAATAACAATGGAAATAAAATACTCACAGACGGAACCCGGGGTTCTTGGGTTGAGACTGAAGTTCAGCTCTGATCTGGAGAAAAGACCTGCTGTGAGTCTGAGTCTAAACTCCTCCCTCAGCCTCTGATCACAGCAGTGATGATGATGATGATGATGATGACGATGATGTCTCAGGTTCCTCTTCAGTCCTAATGACTAAAGTTGACTAGAACTCTGGGACTAGTTCATCCAGAACCAGCTGTTGATCACAGGTTCTCCTCAGACCTCCCTGTAGACGTGGAGTGTATTAAACCCTGTTGAAGCTCAGCTTCAGTGTGAGTCAGCAGGGGGCAGCACTGGTTCAGTTTGGTCGAGGTAAAGACCAGAGGCTGTGAGGATTTTCTTTTAAATCTTCTCATTTCTTCATGGTTCCTTCAGTCCTCAGAAGAAACAGTTCTGGATGATACAAACTCTCTCTCGTCATCTTCATCTTCATCGTCTTCGTCTTCGGACGATGAAGATCTTCATCTTCATCGTCTTCGTCTTCGTGGACCTCGTCTTGGTCCAAACCTCACAGTTCAGTTCTCTGCAGAATTCTAGTCACCGTCGTTGTCCTTCAGCTCCAGACTGGACTCCTTTACCACTGTGGTGTGTCGTTCTTCTGGACACCTCAGACCCATCTCTAACTGGTTGTCTTCAGGACCAGCCTGACGTTCTCTGAGCAGAGCTGAGAACTTTTCCTTCAGTCCACAGAACAATGTTCAATAACAACGTTCGCCACTAACATTTTTAATAAACTTTTATTTCAAAACCATGCAAATTCCATTCATGGCTCACAGACTCCGCCCCATCTTTACACATTCACATTTCAGAAGTTGCATGCCCCTCCCCCCAGTGGTAAATATGGAAAATATTTATTTATTTGTACACGATATCGCAATTAAAAAAAAACGTTGGCATAACATTTTATCATGAGGCAATGCTATGTACATGACAACATCCGTTAGCCTCTGATGTTGGAACATGTGCAGTCGTCAGCACAACACATAGAAAAAAACACTTCCTGTTATCACCTCAAGTTAAAGGTGCAATCTGCGTAAACACGTCCGTTTCCAATTATGGCCACTAAAGGGAGTAATTGTCACTCAATGTCCAATAGATTTCTTTAAAGGTTTAGGAAAAAACACGTAGAGAACTTGCACTAAACAGCGTGATGGGATGGTTTATGAAAACACGGAAGACACTGATTTTTGCCACGCAAGGTTAACGTACTACGTTGGCACAAAGACGAAGTCGTGGAGATGTAGACAAGGGAAAACTGCAATGTGATGTAAAAAAAATAGATCCAGCTGGTTAATTCTCCAAGTGCATATTTGTTACCAAAATTATGCTGCAGACTGCACTTCACCTTTAGCACAATTAGCTTTAGCATTAGCGGCTGGTGGTTTTTAAGCCAAGTATCGCAATTATTGCGATTCTAAATCTTAGACTGAAATTAGGATTCACGGTCAGGTCAGGAGACGGTCAGTTGAATCTGGGCGTGGGTCAGTGCTGGAGTGCAGTCGGGTGGAATATTTCAAAGATTAAAAATATTCTACTCTTCAACGTATTGGACGGAGTCGTGTCTCAATTCAGGCTCCGTCTACATTAGCTGCAACACACTTTAGCATCTGTGTTTGACATCACAAGTTTCTTAACTGAGCAGCTTGACTGAGCAGCTGTCACAGCCACATGCTTTAGAAATATTCAAAATTAGCAACAAATATAAAAATACCCCACCAAAATAGCTTTTGTTGCTAGCGGCTATTTAGCTAGTGGCTATTTAGCCAGATGGCACCCTACTGGTGTCATCCAGAACTGTTCTAAACAGTTCTTGCTGTTCTAGCTTGTTGCTGCTGTGTCAGTGTGTTAGTTAAGTACCTACAGTTGGCTGCATGATAACGATGTTCAATGTGTCTTTGACATAGCTACACTGGTAGCTAACAATGTCCACAGCAGCTATCTGCTAGAATAACTAGTGTACTTAGTTGTAGTTGCCAACTACTGTGTGGTACCACCCTGTGGTATGCGCCATGCGGCAGTTAAACGTGTAAAAGGTGCAGTCTGTGATGTCCATGGCTGCTATCAGCTAATGAGGATTATACTGTCGTGATAATAAACAAACTCTGTACCAGAGTAGTCGCTGTAACAGTGGTAATAACACCAGCTGCTGGAGCAGCATGTGTAGAAGCTAACTGTGCTAGCAATGACTAAAACCAGTACAGCTGTAACAAAGTAGTACTGTAATGAAAACAAACTGTAATAAAGCTAATGTAGCATCTATTTTAGCATTTAGCAGTGAGTGCACGTGTGCCCAGTATAAGTTCATGGTTCGCTGTACAAATGAGAAAATTGTGTTTAAAACGTCGTTGTTGTTAACAAACCTATTGACTCTTGGGTTAGATTTGAATAGTCATGATATTCATGTGTTTCTGTTAAACAAAAGAGACAAAACTACACTGAATGTAAGAGGCCGTCCTTTAAAGTCAAATCTGTTTGGGTTAATACTGTAGCTTAAATTTAAAAAAAAACTAGTAAAACCAGTAACTACCTCAGTGTGTGTCGGCCAGAGGCGGCTTTTCCTAGTCCAACAGAAAGAATGAGTGGTTGTCGGATGAAGGAGGCAAACATCACTGAAACACAACATCAAATCACATTTCCTGTTAAATTCACTGGGTTAGAACTGATCACTGGGTTAAAGGTCACAGATTCAGACTTTAACTTTGTCGTCCTGCGTCCTCATCATGCTGTGTTTATATTTTCAGATTTTTTTTTCTCATATAAAGAGAAAACAAATATTGCATAAGATAATGAAGACAGTTTGTGCAACAGTTTGTTGGATGTAAACACACACAGACACACACTTCCTGTTTGTGGTAAAACAACAGGAAACAGAATTAAACCAGCATTGAGTAACAATTATTATTCTTTATAATAATTATTCTAAAATTATTTAGATTCACTTGTGCATTTTTCTGACCTGTGTCTGAGGTCCAAACTTTTTTGAAGGTCCATGTCACACCACGTCACGAGTACTTTTGTAAAGGTGTAAATACTTGGATGAGAGTGGGTGTACTTCCTGTTGGTCAAACTGTGACCTTACAGTCAGATGTGTAGCGTGATGGACCAATAAGGTCGGTTTTAAACTGAAAATATTTATGTTACATTTTTGCCTTTTTTCATTCATTTGTGCCCAGTTGGAACAGTCTAACTTCTGGCTAACGTCGTGTCCTCACCCGTACCTAACCGTTCTGTACTGTACCAGCCTCACCACAGACGAAACACTGGTCTGGACCCGTGGCTCATTAGCATTAGCTGTTAGCATGTTAGCTGTATGTGTGCGACACCTGGCTCAGTAAGGCACCATTTCCTCTCGTCTCCATGATCTTCATCTTCATCATCAATCCTCAGTACCAGGAACTGTATGCGGTGCTGCAGCACTAACCAAGACATGGTTCTACCAGAACTGTTCAATGCCAAAAAGTTCCAGGAACTGTTGAACTAGGATTAGGTTTCCACGCTCTGACCTGGGAATGCTGGGAAAACACAGAAGAATTTAATCTGGAACTATTCAACACAGATGAATTTCCCCAGGCTCACCACCGGGGGTCTACAGTCTCGAGGCAGCTTGTGTCCTAGTGGTTGGAGGACAGGTCTTGTAACAGGACGGCTGCCGGTTTGAATCCCAGTGGTGTGCTGCTCCTGTGTGGACTGGTACTGATGGATGGATGACAGGTAAGCTTCCTTAGGGCAGTGGTTCTCAAGATGTGGTTTGTGTACTCCTGGAGGTACTGATTACAGCTGGAGTATATTCTTACTCACTTTGTGTGTGGTTTTAGAATAAATCGAAGTACTAGTGGTAGTACTACTTCAATGAGCAGTAAATAGTCTAATACTCGTAGTAATAACGTCTCTTCTTCTCCTTCGACTGGTCTGAATAGTGTAGGTCTGGAAAGTTCTAGTGGTGGAGACAGATATTGGGGGCGGGGTTTAAGGTGTAAATATTTAGAGAACCACTGCCTTAAAAGAAATGATAAAGCATAGGTCAAAAGGTTCTCGGTAGGCGTACTTGCAACTTCCTGGTACTACAGTACTGGGTGGAAACACAGTGTGAGAACAGGTTCAGTATTGCTTCTTCTCTACAAATGCACACATGGAACCACCATGTCCTGCTGCAACATCTCTGACCAGGAGGGTCAGTACCAGGTCAGTACCAGGTCAGTAACAGGTCAGTACCAGGTCAGGACCAGGTCAGTACCAGGTCAGTACCAGGCCAGGACCAGGTCAGGACCAGGCCAAGTAACACAAAGTGCTGGGTGATGGTCTGATGGAGGAACAGAGACACTGAGTTCTTCTGCTCAACAGGAACATGGGAACATGTTGATGATGCTCCTTTCAAAGTAAAAGCCTTTCCTTGGAGAGCCCTTCAGACACCTCCCGTCTCCCAAACCTAAACTTTCAAAAAGCTCAGACTGTCTCAGAGACACTTCCTGTACTTACTCATGCAACGTGCAGTGTACACCTCAGAAGAACCTTAGACGTTCTTCTGAGTCTCTCTTTCACTTCATTCCCGTCCAGAACGTCTTTCAGGAAGTGTCCCAGCTTCGTCTTCCATTTTCTGTGGTGGTATTTTTGCTTGATTGTGAAAGAAACAAAAATAAAAAGTCTATGTTCTACGTTTCTGTGACCATTCCAAACAGTGTGCTGCAGCTGAGCCTCTGGATGAGGAAGAGCTGGGATTTCCTGCACAGACTGAAGAACCTGTGGTTGGATGGAGCGGAGAAGTCCTGGAGAGCAGCAGTATGGATGGTGTGAGGGACATGGAAGGTGAGAGCGCCCCCTACAGTCACCTAAAGCCCATGTGAAGAGCCTGCTCCTGTCAGAACAGCTCAGTTCAGCTGATCCTCATACTGTTTCCGGAAACAGTCTCCAGCAGGGAAGAATTCCCAACAACGTTCCTGGTACATCTTCCAAACATAGGACTCCTAAAGGACGGAGGAGGAGACGACAACAGGGAGGAGGAGGTCAGCATGGAGGAGATGTGAGAGGCTGGAGGTCTGAACCTGAAGCTCAGTGTTTATTACAGAGAGAGTGTGTGTTGGTGTGTTTGTCACCTGTCCTGTGTGCTCGGTTTCATCTTTGTTGATCAGATACATCACAAAGAATCTGAAACACACACACACACACACACACACACACACACACACACACACACACGTGTCAGAGGAGAACACTAGTACACACACATACAGCACGATTTACACAGATTTGTACTGCAGTCAGTGCTCAAATACTACTGTAGTACTCACAGGTAGTTAGCTAAGTTGTGCTCCTGTAACGTGTGCGTTTCAAAGCCGTGAGGCACCGTGTCAAAGTAGTCGTTACCGATTCCACAGATGAAACATTTGGTCTGGAACAGAAACGTGGAGACTAGAGTTAAGTACAACAGTAGCTAAGCGTTAGCCAGAAGATACTTGGTCAATGTGAGCCATAACATTTAAGTAGCAGGATGTCTTCAACACTGAAATGTGTGTTAGCAGGTTTAGCTTAGCCTACATTATCAAAATAAACACTGTGTGTGTTAAAGTGTAGGATCATCACTTTCTATGTGCCACTGTGCATCACTAGAATGCTGCTAACATGCTATGTGTAAGGATTCCTCTGACAGGCTATGTGCTAGTGTGCCGCTAACACGCTAATCTGCTAACACCCCTCTTTATTAGCCTTCACTGCGACCTAGCACTGCACTACAAAGCCTGCAATAGCATCTTCACTGGTACACTGCTAATATGCTAAATCCTAATGCTATGCTTAAATGACTTAACAGGTAAGGTGTTAGCTTGTGCTAACACACTACGTACTATATCATTTGCATTAGCTCCATCCAGTGGACAAATATCTAAATATCTGTCCTGGTGAAAAAGTTCTGACCTAGTTTATAGGACTGGATGGATATGAAACAATGGACCAGGGCTTTAAATATGTTTAAGCTCCACCTACAGGACAGGGAAGGAGATCTCAGTGATAACAATTTATTAGAGAAGCAGGTAAGAGTTTTTTTTAATTATTCCAAACGACCAAAGTTTGCCAAAAATCTAACGTTGGCCTGAAAAGCTAACGGGTTCTTTTACCTCCATGTCTTCTTTGACTTGTTCCTGCTGGTCCCTCAGTTCTCCAAAGGCATCAATAATCAAACCTAGAAACAGCAGGGATAACACAGGAGTCTTTTTAATTCACAACAACAAGAAAAAAAGTTCAGTGACTCAGTCCCTTCTTCTGGTGTGTGTGAGTGAGTGTGAGCAACAGCGCCCCCCCTCACCTTGGATGATGGCCAGCAGGATTACAATGACGAAAAAGAAGAAGGTGATGTCAAAGATGATGCGGTAGATCTCGTACTCGTCCCCCGCCGGGTCCTCAATCTGGTCCCCAATGCCCCCACCCGCTCTGACGCCAACGTACATGTGGAACATGTAGCACTGGCAGGAAGAGTAAAACAGGAAGTGATGTTCAACAAACCGGTACTCACTTCCTGCTCAGTTAGTCAGAACACTGGTAAAGCTGGGAGTTTTTGAAAAGTTTAGATCTAAACTCCTGAAGCAGCGTCATCAGCATCATGTGACCTCAGATGACTCATCAACACCCACTGAGATTCACTGGACGTTTTACACAGGAGGTGGGGCTCATTATGACCCATTTATAACTCCATGTGTGTCTTGAACATTTGGGCTGAAGAAACGTGACTCGACCACAGTACACGTGGCGTCACAAACTCAAAATATCTCTGTGGTTCTACACGTTTATTAACCTGTTCAACACTGCTGCTGTTACTGCTGCTGCTGTTGCTGCTGCTGTTACTGCTGCTGCTGTTGCTGTTGCTGCTGCTGCTGCTGCTGTTACTGCTGCTGTTACTGTTGCTGCTGCTGCTGTTACTGCTGCTGCTGTTGCTGCTGCTGATGCTGCTGCTGCTGCTGTTACTGTTACTGCTGCTGCTGTTACTGCTGTTGCTGCTGCTGTTGCTGCTGCTGTTTCTGCTGCTGCTGCTGCTGTTACTGTTGCTGCTGCTGCTGTTACTGCTGCTGCTGCTGTTACTGCTGCTGCTGCTGCTGTTACTGCTGCTGTTACTGCTGCTGGTACTGTTACTGCTGTTACTGCTGCTGTTACTGCTGCTGGTACTGCTGCTGCTGCTGTATCATTTTTGACCTTAATAGGAATCACAGGAAGTCTCCAGGGATGTTACAGTCAGTTGATCACAGAGAAAAAGTAAGGACATTTCTGGGTTACAGAATGCCACCCTGTGACCTCCTCCTCCTCCTACTCCTCCTCCTCCTCTTCCTCTTCTTGTTGCCAACTCCTTGTTGCCAACTCCAACCCTTTTATAGTCTTTGTGACAGAAGACTGAGCATCATCCTCATTCGTTTATGAAAGGGTTAAAAACAGAACAGTTTCCTGCAGAAGGAAAATCCAGAACAACGATGAAACACACACACACACACACACTCTCTCTCTCTCACCGTCAGCATGTCGTCACACTTCATGTCCGGCAGCTCTCCATCTTCACTCTTGTTGTAGAACTTCCTGAAGAAGTTAAAGGCCACCACCGTGTAGAGGTAAACCACCACGGCCAGCAGGCCCACGGTCAACACCAGCTGCACACAGACACGTCAGTCAGTACTGCACAGACAGACAGGGTGGAGGAGAGCACAGACATAACCTGTGGAGCTGCTGAGAACTGCTCCACCTGTTTGCCGTTGTGTGTGACCGACGACAGGATGGTCCGCAGCGTCTTGAAGCCCATGGCGATGTCCAGCAGGTGAGCAGCGAAGAAGAAGTTGTTGTAGTGACCCAGGATGGACATGGTCATGTACCAGGCCAGATACAGGAAGGACTACAGGTGAGAGAGGGTACTGCAGTCAGTGTGTCAAAGGTCAAAAGTCTGCTCACTAGGATTTTAATTTTATTTATTAGCTTTGGAATAAAGTAGTAGTAGTACTGTAATAATACTCAGTGTAATACACAGTGACATTATGGTCTGCATGGTCTAATAAGACCAACAATTTCACAACAAAAAGGCACCGGAACCAACGAGGGTCTGGTTTTACGTCCCAGTCTGAGTGGGGTGAGTCAGAGCCCTGAGGAGAGAAATTGTTGTAAATAACTGACGTGAACTCACGTTGTCTGTGAAGACCACCCCCAGCTTCCAGATCTGGTATTTAACGTCGATGGAGTTTAAACTGTGGACACAGGAGACAAATCAGGAATCATGGGAGTGGGTTTTTTTTTCACAAAATAAAACACACATCCATTTAGTTCAGGTGTCTCACTGGAGGACGTCTGGTTCTAGACCAGCCCTGGCTGAGGACTGAGCTACGTACATGTGCAGGACCAAAGTCCATCCATCACTGATTTTCTCCATGGACTTTGGTCTGAGCTAAACGTTTGCTGTTAGCTAACAGACTCACACAGCAGCCAGGGAGCCGTCTCTCCTGGGCTTCCTCTTCTTGTGAGCGTCACTGAAGTCCAGAGCGGCCTTGTCCATCCCCAGGAGCTCGCTGATTCGGTCGTGTCCATAAAATTCTCCGTATTTGTCCATCACCTGAGGAGAAGCAGTGAAGACTTGGTTTTACTCAGGGCGCAGGATGGATGTGGTTCTACTGTGAACAGTTCCCTGATTCCGAGGTCACACTCACCTTCCTCTTCACAAACTTGTCCCAGTAGTTGTTTGGAAACGACCTTAAAGGAGAAGAGGGTTTGTTGTTAAAGTCATTATTAACAACGATCTGAGGGGAAACAGAAACTGAGGCGTGCTCACACACACACACACACACACACACACAGTGGACGGACTCACTGTGTGTTGATGACCAGTCTGTCCCACTGTCCTTTGATGTCATCTTCTGAGGGCTGCTCTGTGATGTACAGTCCATCAAACTCCAGCTTCCTGGCCACTTCCTTCTCCCTCTTAAAGATCACCAGAGGAACCTGCAGCACAGACACACACATCTACAGACCGAGCTCTGCTGCTCTGAGCGGCACCAGGAGCGAAGGTCATCCAGGGTCAGCAGTGACGGAGGCTCTCACCTTCAGACAGTAGTAGCCGATGATGCAGAAGAAGGCGATGACGGTGTGAAGGACGGCCAGGATGCGGAGCGTGGGCTCCATGTATCCACTGCTCTCCTCCAGGACAAAACGCACCGTAACAGGTTTCTGTGGTTCTCCTGTCTCCTCCAGAACCTCCTCCTTCGTCTCCACCACTTCACCTCCTCCGCCCAGTGAGTTCCACCGAACACCACCGTCAGAAGGGGTGTTGGCGTACACAGGACCCTTGTCCTCGACCACAGAGGAGGACGTAGAGACCTGGACAAGTGTTAAGAAGATGGAGGTCGGAGTGAGAGACAAACTCTTCTCCAGATGTTCTCTCACCTGTGATGTTCTAACAACAATATGAAACACAGTTATTTCCAGGGTCACGTGTGGAGACAACCAACCATTCACATCACCATTCACACCTCCATTCACACCACCATTCACACCACCATTCACACCACCATTAACACCACCATTCACACCTCCATTCACACCACCATTCACACCCCCATTAACACCCCCATTCACACCACCATTCACACCTCCATTCACACCACCATTCACACCCCCATTCACACCACCATTCACACCCCCATTAACACCCCCATTCACACCACCATTCACACCCCCATTAACACCCCCATTCACACCACCATTCACACCTCCATTCACACCTATGGTCAGTTCAGAGTGATCCACTCTGTTTTTGGTCTGTGGAGAACCTGGAGAGAACACACACACACACACACACAGAAGAACTCATAGTAGAAAGAGCAAACGTTGACCTATGTGCTGTACGGTCAGAGCACCAACCGCTGAGGCACCGTGTGAGCCCTCCATCAGTTTACCTTGTAGAATAAGAGGATGAAGTTGATGGCGAAGGCCACGAACAGAGCCAACATCCTCATGTTGTAGAAGTTCCTGGCAAAATAGTTCTGTGAACCGACACAAACACAGTGAAAGGTACTACCTGGTACTCCCTCTACAGACTGTGGACTGTAGGTCCCAGTGAAGGTCCACGTACCAGCAGTTTCCTCTGATAGGCTATGATCTTCTTGATAAAGGCCGACTCCTGAAGATCTGGTTCATCAGACCTGGACTTTCGATGTCTTCTCACTTTGGGCTTCATCTTGTCGTTCTTCTGTAGTTTCCCTGGCTCCTCCACGACCCCCTCCCTGACATCACACAGCAGCAGGTCATTCACACTGAGCCACCATCCTGACATAAAGATCTGGACGTCATATACCAACCCTGATGGTTTCTCTGGTTCTCCTTCAGATTCCAGCGCTACTTCCTTCTCCTCTGAACCTTTGGACTGGAACAGAAAAACAAAGTCCTGGTCCAGAGCACGTCTCTGTGAAGGTTCTCATCATCCTAGTCACTTTTTCAGACCTGAAGAAAGTTTTCTTTTTACCTGATGCCTCCGTCTGAGCTCAGTGGGGGGCGCTGTTGTTGCTGAGGTCTGAGCAGGAACAGGTGAGTTGAGCAGCTCCGTCAGACTTGCGTTGGGGTTGTGAGGGCTGATCTTGTACTGGCCCCCCTCCCTCCTCAGGTCCAGACCAAATATGTCGGACAGCAGCTCCGTCTCACTGGGGTTCACGACCAGGTCGGCCAGGTCCTCCTTGGTGGAGCTGCGGTCTGAGGGTCTCCTCTCTCTGTCCTCACCTTCTCCTCGAACCTCGTCCTGGGTGGGGTCGGGCATGTTGGCCAGGAGCTCTGACACCTGTGGATGAAAGTCCATGTGACTTTGGGACCATGAGTGGACATCGGTTCAAACCTGGTGGAGCCTCATCAGGTCAGACCTTTATGGTCTTGGCTCCTTCCACCAGGTTACCACCCATGAAGGTGTTGTAGAAGATTCGACAGAACCCTCTGGCCACACTGAAGGCGACATGGAGGAGACCCAGTAGGATGGACCAGTACAAGGAGACCAGGGTGGTGACCAGGTCCTTCACTGTCATGTTCTTTATCTTCTTCATCTGCTTCTTCAGGCTCTTCATGGACAGAACCTGGGAACAGAGGAAATGGAAAAGTCAAACCTTTGACAAGAAAACAGGAACAGAAACATGGAGAAAAGTTCTGAAGTCTGAGAAGAACATTTTTAGTTTTTAATCACTTACAGGCACCGGAGATAAAAGAACCAAAGTAATCAGTAACCACAACTAGTAGTAATAGTAGTAGTAGTAGTAGTAGTAGTACACACTGTGAATTGCCTTAAAAAGCAGCTGATTTATTTAAAGTGTGTACAAACCAAACTGTACTTTTGTAATATAGTAGTAGTACTCTAGTATTAAATATTTAATACAAACATGTATTAGACCCACCCCCTCCACTCAGACTCTTACTTTTATCAACAGCATGACGTTGTAGCGCAGAGCCACCAGCGCCATGCAGACCGTGGTGACGGAGAAGAAGCCGATGTCTGGGTTCTCCTCATCCGGCTTCTCCTTCTCATTCTCCTCCTTCACAGCCGATCGTTCTCCAGCATCGGACATCTGAGCGGCCAGCTGCATTTCAAAGATGGTGTCCTCACAGAAGTTGACGAACAGCTCCATCTTCTCCTTCTCACCGCCTTCGTTCACCACATCAAAGATGAACTGTCGCTTGGACTCCTTCACCTAAGGCGAGACCACCAGATGGAGGTTAAGAAAACCTATAGCCGTGAAGGTGGTGTTTCAGGTGGACCCTGTGGTCACAGGACCCTCCTCACCTGCGGTTTCTCCCACTGAGTCCGGCTGGACTCACTGATCTCAAAGTAGACCCTCTCGATGCGCTTGGCGCTGCCCATAATCTCGATGCGGCCCAGGTACGGCTGGAAGTAGTTCAGGACGCTCTCAGCCAACTCCAAGAAGGTCTGCAGACGAGTGTCGTGGGGCATGTGCTCCGACAGGTTGGTGAGGAGAACGGCCACGTTGAAGCCGATGTCCTTCAGACCAGAGACATCACAGAGAGAAGATGTGAATGTGGACAGATGCTTCTGGTTCTATTTAAAGACGCAGATGCAGGGACTGTCCAACAGGACGGAGCAAGTGTCTCAGTCAAAAAGTCCTCAGACATGTTGTTTATCATTCCTGCAGGTGTCAGAGGTTAAAGACTGAAACCAGTTCAAACTGGTCTCTGTCTCCAACAGAACAGACAAAGAAGCAGGTCGTGACCTGGTGTCAAAGGTCATCCTTCAGAATTCTACATCTGATGGAAACACCACAGAAGAGATTTTTAGTCAACATTTGTCTGAGGACTTTTTGACTTGACAAATGTACAGGGGCAGATCCAGGGTGAACGTTCAGTCTTTGGCCGTTTACCTTGGCTGGTTCATGAAAACGTTCCACAAACTCTTCATAGTCCAACTGTTCGTTCTCGTCCGTCTCAGCGCAGGACAGCAGGAACTCCGTCTCTGACTGGGTGTAGTGTTTGTGGCTCTCCATGGCTTTGTGGAAGTCCCTCTTGGAGATGACGCCTGTAATGGAAAAAAAATCAGAAAAGAGTTCTTTCAGCTCCTGATTCTTCATCTCTAAAGTTCTCCAGAGGATACAGTGAAGAAGAAAAGAAGAGTGTGATCAACCAAGTCTCTAACAGATGGACAGATAGAACTTTATTAAAGAGTTCCCTTTGGGAAATAAAGGAATGAAGGTGTTGATCCTGTCCTAGCAGCAGAAAAAAATCCAGAGGAGAAAACTCACCTTTCCCATCAGTGTCGTACTCCTTGAAGGCATCAGACGATGTCAGGTCCTTCAGTTTAAGGAACATGTCAAAGAACTTGAGGATCATCTCCACGTTGTTGGACGACTCCACCAACATGTCAACCATCTGCTTTCCAATGGTTCCGTTCACCACGTTACCTGACAACCACCAGGAGACAATGTTGGACTCTCTTTGAAGCAGAACTAACAGGACTGAGGTGACGTGAAGGTGAACATGCTCATCATGGACATACCCTCCAGCATGGACAGCAGCATGACCACCATGTCCTTCTGCAGGTCCATCAGTTCCTTCAACAACTCGATCTGACTGGAGTCCTGAGGAACATGAGAACGTTAACACAGAACTGCCTGAAAGAACCCAGGTGTTTCCTCTGGTCTGACCAAAGAGACTGGACCAACATGAAGAGGTGAGGAGACACAGCCTGAAACACTGACCCCTCCCCTCTCCCCCCCTCCCCCTCCAACCTCACCTGGGACAGCTTCATCTGCATGTGAGCGAAGACGTGGAGAAACCCCACCACAGCGTCCCACAGACGACTGTGAGCCAGACTCTGCTGGTTCCCAGTGCAGGGGCCCTGTCCAGGTCACAGGAGCCACATGTTTAACACCGTATCAAACACCTGAGCAAAGTCTCTGTCCAAACAACAGGGATGTACCTGGATGTACTCCGTCAGGGTGTTGAACACCTGCTTGGCCACATTGATGGCCTTGGAGAAGTTCCTCTGTCCCTGTTCGTCGATGACATCTTTACCAGAGTAGTACCAGTAGAAGTCACTGATGGACTCCTGCACAGAGGACGCAGTACTGATCAGTCATCTACCAATCAGCTACCACACACCCTCAGACTCAGGGATTTGAACTGACAACCCTTCAACAACTGGACCAAAGGTAACAAGGTGTGATTCTAGGGGCCCATGACTGAGATGGCTCTCAATAAAACTATAATACTGACATGAAATACTATGACGTGATAATAGTACTACGACGCGATAATAGTACCACGACGCGATAATAGTACTATGACATGATAATAGTACTACGACGCGATACTAGTACTACGACGCGATAATAGTACCACGACATGATAATAGTACTATGACGTGATAATAGTACTATGTCATGTTAATAGTACTGCGACTTGATAATAGTACTATGACATGATAATAGTACTATGACGTGATAATAGTACTACGACGCGATACTAGTACTACGACGCGATAATAGTACCACGACATGATAATAGTACTATGACGTGATAATAGTACTACGACGCGATACTAGTACTACGACGCGATAATAGTACTATGATAAATGTATGATATAAAATAGCATCTGTGTGTGTGTGTGTGTGTGTGTGTGTGTGTTGCTGTGATGGGTGAGCAGCAGGGACTGACCTGGACTCTCAGCAGGTAGTCAACAGTGGAGATGATGATGTTCACAGTGGTGTTGTTTCCTGTCTGGGTCCGTAGGTAGTTCTGGAAGTCTGGACCAGGATATGACAGGTTTTATTACTGTGGTCGTCTGAAGTGACAGGTCCAGCTGAACACAGTCCCTCACAGCTCACTGCTCCGTCTGTAGGACGTCAACTTCAGCTAGCATCGTTGTGGCGCTCCTGAGCTAACGACGTTTGCTAACAGCGTACAGCTGAGGATCACTGCGAGAGTTTACCCAGGATTCACAGCTGTCCACAGGCCTCATGGTCAGTGTGTGAGCTGAGCTCAGTCACCGTCAGTCAAAGTGAGTCCTCAGATTCAGAGATGTCAATCAATCAACCCCCCTCCCCCCCCTCCCCCCACTGAAGCACACACACCTGAGTTGTGTCCTTCACACAGCAGCTGCAGGAAGCGGAAAAGGTCACAGGTGAACTCGTCGTCCTGCATGACCTTCTCACCTGGACAGGGAGAGAAGAACAACACGCCCATGCAGACACACACAGACACACACAAGCACAAACGTACACACGTAAACGCCACCATCACAACAGGACCGTGTGCGCGCACACAAACATGTGGAGGGGTCAGAAGGAGAGACACGGAGCAGAGACAAAAAGACAAGAAGATGGAGAGAGTGAAGAACTTCTTACACACACCAGATCCTCAGTGTCTGCTGTCAGTCAGTGAAACCAGCATTACCTCACACACACACACACACACACACACGCACACACACACACCCCTGACCAGCAGTGGGCAGCCACAGGAGGGAGCTGTGGACTGGTCTGTAAACTGCAGCATTTTACAGTCAGCACCAGAGTCAGGCTCTTTAAGCTGTTGTGCTCATGTACTGGTGTGTACTGGTGTGTACTGGTGTGTACTGGTGTGTGTACTGGTGTGTACATCTGTGTTGCTGTTGTAGCTCTGTGGATTGAAGGACAACAATCACCCAGAGGACGGGGAAACGGCTGCTGTGACTGGGCTAAAATGCTGCTTTAAACCATGCAGAGAGGAGGAGGTGAAGAAGGAGGAGGAGGAGGAGGAGGAGGAGGTCAGAGGGAGGAGGACGAGACGTGGACCATCAGTCAGTCCAAACACAACATGAACATCAACAGAAGAAGACAGAGCTGGAGGAGGGACATCTGCAGACCAGGAAACAAGACTGAAAGTGTAGAGCAAACAGCTACCAGGAGCTAACGCTACTGTCTCCTCCTGTCTGGTTCCACAGAGACCAGTGGAAGTCTGGCTCCGGGAAATTCACTTCTTCTCTTTACCAAATACCTCAGTGGTGTTGTACAGTGGCAGTGGCAGCCAATAGGAACAGTTTTGCCAGTTTTGCCACCTGCTGGTAATCACTGACCAACATTTATCACCCTCAAAGGTGGATTAATGCCACCTACAGGCCACTTGAATGGAACTGCACCACCAGGTTTGAACTGGTCTACAGATCAAACTGACTGTTATTGGTTCTACACCTGGTCATGGAAACAATACTGGACACAAAGGACGTGTCTAACTGGTCTGGAGTGAGAGACAGGAAGTGACATGGAGGCAGAAGAAGAAGAAGAAGAAGAAGGACGAAGATGGAAATGAAGAAGGTTTGAGGAGACAAGGATTAATAGTCTCCAACCAGGACCTGGACAGAACTGACAACAACAACTGACCAACCAACCAAAGTCTGAGAAAGAGAAAGAAAGAGAGAGAGAGAGAGCGAGAGAGAGAGAGAGAGAGAGAGAGAGGGAGGGAGGGAGGGAGCCCAACCAACACAGAGGAAAATGGCAGAAGTCATAATTACCACGCTCATGACTGATGACTGAGGAAGGGAGGGAGGTGCCGTCAAAACAAAAGAAAAAACAGGAGGAAGGAGGAAAGAAGGAAGGAGGAGGGAGAGTGAGAGAGAGAGAGAGAGAGAGAGAGAGAGAGAAACAAATAAAAGGATCACATGAAGGGAAAAAAGCTTCAAAAACTTTGACTTTCATTGAGTCAGTGTGAAACAAACCAAAAAAAGGAGGAGCAGGAGGAGCAGACGTAGACGTGGAGTCGAGTTGGTTTGTGTTTCTGTTCTGGACGCCGCGGCTCTCACTCTATCTTACTATCTTTCTAACCTGACCTTTGTCTCGCTCTGAGACAACTTTATAACCTTAACCTTTTTTTTTCTTCACAAAACCTTTGTTCAATTCTAATTTAAAAATTAGAATTGAAATAAAAATAAAAACATTTAACAGTGGCAGATCTGTTCACACAGTCAGTGTTTAGACTAACAACAACACTAATACCTGTTTGGTTTTTTACCAATTTTGTTGTGGTTCTTGTCATTAAAAATCTAGACCGTTCTCAGCTAGCTTGTAGCTAACCTGGCTAACTGCAGCGAGTCATGTCAGAAACTGTGTTAGAAACATCTTTCACAGCACAGTTAGCTTCAGCTACATTTTATTAACCTTTAACTACTGTTGATAAGAGAACAGAAACAACAGAAACAGCACTAGCTACTGAATAAAGCTAACAGGAAGAAATGACGGGGAGGGTTGGGGGGGGGGCAGGACACAACTGTGGGGAACACTGCTGCATTACCTCATCCTCAGAGACAATGGAACCAGTTTTAGAACAATGATGTCATGAAGGATCAAGGTCTGAAGTCTTACCTGATCCCTCCTCCGTCACCATCCCCAGTCCTTCAGCTTTGTTCTGTCTCTCAAAGGCATTTAGATCCAGGACACTGGACGGACACACACACACACACAGGTTTATGGTCAGTCTCTGGATGGACAAACCACTCAGCGCAGGTGTGAAGTAAGGAGGTGAAGTCACCTGCAGGACTGCATGAGACCGGCCAGACTCTGGAAGAAGCCCACGTCCTTCTTGTTCTTCAGATAATCCAACATTTTCTGTCACAGACACAGAGACAACAATTTGGATTTAAGCTTGATCCAAAATACATTTGTGAAAAGTAAGTAAGTATTTTTAACTGCTACAGCAGCACAGATCTTCAGTTCAGTTTCTATGGACTTTAAATATACTGTATCTTATATGATGATTATATAAATATACAACAGATAATCTGACTGACAGTGTCCTGATGGAGCACTGTTGTCGTCAGTAAAAACACCCAGTGGAGACCAGTTACAGCAGGGGTTAGCTCCAGTTAGCTGTTCTTTAGCTCACATGCTAACGTCTCTGCTGGAGTGTTAACACTGTTATCACGTCACACTGTTTGTTCAGAAATTTAAATGAAATGTTTGGTCAATTGCACAACAGCGACACCTGCTGTACGGTGGAGTTTCCTCCGTTCAGGATGGCGATGCCCAGCTTCAGGGTGGAGGCCACCATCAGACCCATTTCACCTGCGGGAGAAAACAAGCAGACGGTCAGCCCCTCCTTCACCACAGTCTGATTAGATGAGGTCCACGAGGAAGAACGTGGAGAACCTTTGCTGGCACTGATGGTCTGGAGAACCATCTCAGCAGCTCCACGATCATGAAGTCGAGCCTGCTGGTACAACAGCTTCTGCTTCTCCATCTCCTTCTCCTGCTCAGGAGAGACAAAATGAAAAAGATAGTTTGATTCAAGAGTGTGTTCAGTGACTCCTGCTAACATCTGGACCTGGAAACCTCACGACAGTCACTGATGCATTCCAAGGACGCCTTGACTCCTGCTAACATCTGAACCTGGAAACCTCACGACAGTCACTGATGACCAACCTCAAAACTCTTAACTTCTCCATCTTCATCTTCTTCGTCGTGGCAGCTCTGAGGTGAACACAAAATAGAAACATCATCGTCACCGTGGTTACCATTGTCAGGACCACCAAGGTCATTGTCATCATATTTATCATTGTTAGACTGACATTATTATGGTTGTCATCATTACATTAGCATCACAAAAATCACTGTCATTGTTATTGTGACATCATCATTATTTGTATTGTAATAATCACCATTGTTCTCTTTATCATTACCATCACTGTCATTATCATCATACCTTAGCCATGATGTCAGCATAGGCCATGTACAGATTATCCTCATCCAGTTTACTGCAGCAGGAAACACACAAGGTTAAGGTTAGCCAAATAAAGATAAGGAATTGGAAAAAGATCTAAAATAATATGAATGTAGAAAATTCATGATCAAACCAAATGAAAAAAAAACAAACAAACAGAAAAGCTCCAAGTTATGTTGCTAAAGGTTAGCCAAGACAGCCCAAAAACTGCTAGAGATTAGCTAAAATAATAAAGAAAACTGAAAACTTCAGTCAAATGAATTTAGCATAGCTTAGCATGAGAGGCTAACAATGGAACATGCAGACTGTGTGTGTGTGTGTGTGGGTGTCTGACCACTTCTCAGTCAGGGCCGTCCTGCTGAGCAGCTGGATCAGCTGGTGCAGAGGGTCCATGTGCTTCAGCGCCTCCTCCTCCTCACACTGCTCCTCTTCTCCGGGTTTCTGAGACACAGGAAAACACACGCTCACACGTGCACGCTCACACGTGCACGCTCACACTCAGAGTCAAAGGAAGTTCAAAACTCACGGCCAGGTCCTCGATCAGTTTGTCTTCAAAGTAGTGCTCCTCAGCCTCGATCCAGGATTTGTCGTAGCCCTGCAGGAACAGGTTCACAGCCCGGTGCCTGGGACGCCACACAGATGCAGTTAGGAATCAGTACCAGAACTATTTTATACTTTATACTTTATATAATTTGACAGAAGAAAGTGTTGTTTAGTGTGGTAGTTGTACAAGGTACCGATCTGTTTGTCTCAGTCTCAGTCAACAACAATTCAGAAAATCATTTTAAAGAATGAACAACATTTTGTCGATGACTCACTTTCCCACAGAGAAACCCAGAGAGACAGAGAGTGCTGGCTTCAAAGTTTGTAAAAATAATGACCAAAGACATACAGTTTTAATTCATAATAATAAATGATCATATTTTAAAATATTTGTGCATTTGATTTTGTTGGAGAAGACTTTGTGCTGATGTTTTTATTTGAACTCATCACTCACCTGGGCAGATTATAGAGCGGTGCCATCCTGAAGCAGGCCACCACTGCTCTCTTCCTTTGTTTGGACAGAAGTTTGTGCCACACAGCTTTTTTACTTCGCTGAGGATGTTCTACCTACACACACACACACACACACACACACACACACACACACACACAGTTTACTTTAACAGATGAGAACAGCTTCTCCTTCAAGGGTTAGCCTTTAGCCTCTGTAGCTCATTTAGCCTGTAAAGCTAACGATGTGTTTGTCAGTCTGGTCTGAGGCTGTGATTATCTACAGCCCTTCCTACAGACCTGAGGTGAAGAACACACCTGCTCCAGGTGGAAGAGGACATGAGCGATGTCCAGAACTCTCTCCACCGTCTTCTCTGGGTCGGGGTTGTTTTCACAGTGGTTGGGCAGGTCTCTGTACAGCGCCATCTGCCAGCGAATGGCGGGATCCTCCAACTGAACAAAGACACTGAATGAAAGCAGTTGCACAGACATGGACAACCTTGTCACAGTGTTGGACGTGTCCCTCTCACCTTCCCCTGCAGGTGCAGGTTGTTCTTGACGATGTCTCTGACTTCGTCCTCTGTGTCTTTCTGTGGACACACACCACCGTCAGCCCCCCGTTTCTTCTATTTTCTCTAGAAAAGTTTAGAATATTGTCTATACTGTCTAGTTCAGTTTGTACCTGTGTAAATCGGTTCTTGGCCAGTGTGATCAGTTCCTGCTCTCCAGGAGCGCACATGTTCAGTCCGACAGGCAGGAGGCGCTTCAGAGTGGCTACGATCAGACTGGTCTGCATGGAGTAGCGATCTCCCTTCCTCTTCATCTTCTTCCTCTCCTGATCTGAAACGATTCCCTGAGGAACCACAGGTCAGCGGTCAGTAGAGGGCGCTGGCTGTTTTGGCTGACATTTAGAGGAAACAGTTTTTTTCAGCGTATACCTTGGACATCTTACACTTGGTGTCAGTGATGAGGAAGGACATGTTGTTGATTTCATTCTGAACCACAAAGTTCTGCTCCTCCCTCTTGAAGTTCTGCCGAAAGAAAACAGAAACACAGTGACTGAGCTGCTGGTAACCTGCTGCCCCCCCCTCACTCTCTCTGTGTGTGTGTGTCCACAGCCTCCTCACATGAGACTTGGCCCAGAAGATGAAAACCTCAGCCACCATTCGGAACAGTGCCTCAGCCCCAGGGTTGGACTCCTTCAGCCAGCGGGCCCTGTTAGGACAGAACCAAGACCAGGACAGTCACAGCAGCTGGTCAGGCACTGGTTAGTGGACAGTTACTGAGGACTGAATAAATGTCTTCAGTGACGTCACCTCACAGGAAGTAGCCCACCTGTTGTAGTCCACGAAGCGTATGAGGAGCGGATAGAAGGCGTACAGGTCTCTGACCAGGATGGTGAACTGGTCCATGATGAGAAGCTCTGTCTCTGACATCTCACCCCGCCCCTCAGCTTTACTGTGCTCTTCATCCATCAGAACAATGGCTGCTTTCTGCGCAGCAACAACGTCATCATCAACAATCATCACCAACAACAACCATCACAAATAACAACAACAACAACGATCATGAACAACATCATCATCAACAATCATCAGAACTGAAGTCATTATAAAATATTGACTCACTTTTTTCAGTTTCTCCATCAGAGGCAGGAAATGAGTCTTCAGTAGCTCAGGCTTAGCCTTGCTGATGATTGGCTGAGAGAAGACTGGGAGTAGAAGTTACATGCCAGCAGTTAGCAATGAGCCATTTCTCTTACAACAGTATATTTACCCTTTGTATTGATAGCACTCAAGCTGAATATTGTACAGTTTATTATTAGAGGCAGTTGTGTAGTTGCTAGGACATTTGTTAGGTTGCTAGTTAGCACAACGTTAATCAGGAAGATAGTTAGCAGAGAGCTTAAACTTAAAACTTAAACTTTATTTATCATTTGTGACATAGCACAGCACAGCACACCATGCACAATGAAATTTAACCTCTGCATTTAACCCATCACCAAGTGAACAGTGGGCAGCCATGCTCAGTGCATCTCAGTGGCAACCTGGCAGTTGGTGGATTCGAACCTGGGGCCTTCCGGACCGAAGTCCGCTTCCTTTACCACTAGGCCACCACTGCCTCGAGATTGACAAAAATTGCCATAGCTGACTGTTTTTCAAGTCATCCAGGCAGGGTATTGGGTTAAGTTTTCAACCAGCAATGATCACGTCTCAGTTAAACTTCATAAACTATGATATTGCCTCTGCACAAGAATCTGTTAGCTAGCGTTCAGTTGATGAAGCAGAGTGTCATAATTGGTCATTGAGGTACAGAATGTGAAACTAATACTGATATTTACTACTAATTAAAATAGTTTCACTGCAGCATCTGTGTGTGTCTGTGTGTGTGTGTGTGTGTGTGTGTGTGTGTGTGTGCTACCAGCCAGTCTCTTCATCCAGGCTCCCTCGTCGATGCCCAGGTTGTTGTAGATGATCTTCAGGATGTTTCCCAGCAGAGTGTTCATGTACTCTGAGGTGACAGCAGTGCAGCAGCTGTCAGCCTGGTCCATGTGGTTCTCTGGTCCATGTTCCCACCAGTGGGACATGTAGCTGCACAACATGGGCAGCACCACCTGCAGGAGGGTAGAACATGGCGGGTTGGAGTTGGACCTGACTTCACAGACCATGTCCAGTGAATCTACAACCACACCTCCATGACGTGAGGCATCTGGTTGTATCTCATGCCGGACTCTGCCAAGTCCATGATCTCCTCCAAAGACTTGTCCAGGTTTGGGATCACGGCGCAGACATCGTCAACGTGTCCCGGCAGACCGAGAGCTGGAGACGGAGCAGAGGTCAGATGTTGTTAATCACAGTAACAGTTGTGTTCTGTCTGTTTCTGTTAGAGGGCGCTGTTCAGCACCTCCTCTGTCTTTGGTTCCTCTGCTGTTGTAGATGGAGAAGCTGTTGAACTTGTTGATGTGAGGTTCTAGGAAGGCCACAGGGAACGCTGCTGAGAAGGCAGCGAGACACTGTCCCAATGCCGGCCGCTGTCTGGAAGAGACGGAAAGGAGACGGAGATTCAAAAAGTCCTGGTTCAGAAACTCATCTGGTTTGGTCTTCTTCAGTTTATGGTCAGAGAAACGTTGTCAGTATTGTTTCAGTCTCCCCTGAAGGGGGCGCCAGAGCACTTCAGACAGTTGAGGTTGTCAAAGTTTAAAGAGTCTTTTCTTATTATTCCTTTTGTGTCTGATTTTTCACTCAGGTTTAAGTTTTATTTGTTTTTGAATGTTTCAAAAGTCTGACCAACCAATCAGTGATGCTGTACTATTACTTCACTGTACTATAAGCAGTACTGTAGAACTATAAGAAATAGTTGCATGGTTTAGGTTATTTTATTTCTTCTTAAGTGGAGCAGAATATTTAAGAGAGTAAATCCAAACAAAATCCTTCTTGATACTGCATGTTGAAGTCTCAGACATGAAAAAGTATGATGGAACCGTCTCCATCATTCGTCTCCATCAGTGGGTGATGGAGGAGGACACTGGTGGATCAGGACTCACCTCTCCACGTAGATGCTCTTGTTGGTTCCCAGCAGGTACAGACTGTTGAGGATTCTGTAACAGGAGACCTGGACGTCGTCCACTGGAGAGAGACAGGACACAGATCACACACCTCTGCCTGAACCAACCTGAGTGTGTGTGTGAGTGTGTGTGTGTGTGTGTGAGCATGCTCACGTATCAGGTCTTCTCCAAACATGTTCTGTCCGATGTGTTCAAAGAGCGAGGACAGAACCGGCAGCAGGGCGAAGGTGGTGTAGTTGATGATCTGAGTGACCCCCCTGGGCTGATCTCTGCTGTGGGTGAACTGACCCAGCTTCAGGTTCTCCTGCGTCTTCTCTAGATCTTCTGCTGCACTGTCAAAGAAGGACCGCAGCGCCACCTTCACTGACTCAAGACCAGTTTTCATCACTGTCCTGGAGACAGAGGAGAGACAGGGATTGGACCACGTTGGTCATCTGAGGGACTGACTGACCTGGAGTCTGGTCCTGATCTGGTCCTTACCTGGCGTCTAGACTCTGTCCCAGGATCTGAAGACAGTTGACGATGGACGTGGCGTTGTTACCTGTGAACACAGAGTCACATGACACACACGCTGGTTAACAGGACCTCTTCAAAGTCCAAAAAAATACTGCCCCCTGTCACACACACACATTAACAACCAGACAGTATTATCATTATTAATAATAATGTGATTGTGGTTTTATCACAGAGAAAAGAATTAACTGAAGCACAAAATAGCACAAAGTTAGCACAGAGCTACAGCACCACCTGCTGTCAGCTGAAGAGTAAAAAAATAAAACAGTGAACGTGACAGAAACACAAGCTGTGGCTCAGAGGAGCAGATTCTCACTCCATCACATCAAACCACTCTTACCAAACAAGGAAATCCTGTGTCTGACCAGAACTCCCAGTTTGCAGAAAAGACTAAGAGTGAAAAGGAAACAGAAAGACGGAAAAGGAAGAGGAAGAGGAGACACAGAGTCAACAGACCATCAGGAAACAGAGTGGAGGGAAAAAAAATGACTTTTCAACAGTAACCAAAGTCATGTCACCATTCTCACCTGGTCACCATCTCTTTCTCTTTATTGGAGGCGTGGCCACCGCTGCTGATTGGGTGAATGGCCGTGGACAGGAAGTAGAGCCGGTGGTTTTTAAAGTACTGGTCCACTAGAGGTAAAACCACCTGGGTCAGGACAAAACAGACCAAAGTGTCAAGGTGAATCAACAACTGCTCACAGCACTAAGACCATCCCATGCTGCAGGAGAGCAGCCCACATCTGACCCTTTATAGCCCAGAGCTGACCTTTTACCTATGTGTGGTAAAACATCTGATTTTTATCCATGTGTGGGCCACATTTAACGTTTAACCCATGTGTGGCCCACAGCTGACCTTTTTACCCATGTGCTGCCCATATCTGGCTCAGGTGTTTGTCTGCAGCATCAGTCGTAGCACTCATGTCACACATCATCGGTGTAAGACCAAGGCTCCAAGAGTGAATGAAAACGAAGCAAACATGGTTGATGTAGCAGGTGGAAAGAAGAAGATTGTTAAAGTGTCCTTGACAGGAAAGCAGGCCTTGACGGGCTCCCACCCAGAGGTCTGCAGGGAGGGGGCCAAGATTTAAAATGTGTCCATCTGTGTGGACCCACATTTACTTCTGTTAACACCACGGTTCATGTGGGTCACCTCAGGGATGCAGCCTGTTCACAGTGGAGTATGATGAGGTCACTCTTCAACAATAATAATACTCAGGTTCTAACCTTTCCAAAGAACTTGATCTGCTGCTCGTGAGGAATTGTCTCCCCCTTCAGTCTCACTCCTGCATCTGAAAAACAAACAGAGTCTTAAAAGATCACATCGTTACCATGACAACTGACATGAAGGTGACAGGACACTCCTTCAAACCAAACCACAACATCATCTGCATATGTGAGGAGCAGCAGGAGAAGAACAGGGGGCGCTCTCACCAAACTCCATCATGTGCTGATGAGCCTGGTCCACGTATGTGATGAGCTGCTGGAGGAAGGTGTAGGCGAATCTCTTCTCTATGGCTGGAGTGTCCAGCTCCTGGGACTTCACACCTCTGCACAGTAACAACCCATACACAAAGTATTCAGAGTACACAATCATATTCACAGTACTTACATGGATACTTTTTACTTCTCTTTTTTATTATTTATCAGACCAGGTTTTAAAGAAAATGTTTTGATCTGAGTTCTTAGAACTTCTTAACCTCAAATCCATCTCCCAAACATCTGAAGAAGACAGTACTGTGCCATGAACCTGTCTCTGGACCACAGAGCAGGACTCTTGGCTCTCACCTGGACACGGTGTAACCGTTGATCTGCAGGAACTTGAAAATGTCTTGAGCTCTTTCTCTGTCTCTGGATTTCTCTTTGGCCGTCAGTGTGTCGTAGGGAACCAGGAGAGGATGGTTTCCTCCACCTGAACAAACATCAACACCACCGTCACTCCAGGCTACAGTTTTAGTCTTCACATCCTGGTTCTGCCTGTTTGGGTGAAGTGTACCTTTAGCCTCCAGCTCTGTCTTCTTCTTCCTGGCCCAGATGTTGTGATAATTCTCTGCCAACAGTTCTGCCATGGACTGAACAAAGGCACCAGGTTTTTGTAGTGATGTTAGGTTGTAGATAACGGATCAGAAACGGGAGTTCTACCAACCTGCATGTCTCTGGACAGAGTCACGTTGCTCATGTCGATGGGTCTAGGACTAAAGGCTGAAGTTCCTTCAAAGGACAGCTGTGGATAAGGATTGGATTAATGAGAAGATTAATGTTAGCATCAGGTGTTAAAGTGTGTCTCTTAAGACCAGGTGAGACCAGACCAGAGGACGTCCAGAGCTGGTCTTACCTGACTAGCCTGTGAGATCCTCCTGGACTTGTTGTGGAGACTGGCTGGATCTCCCTCCCTGATCCGGTCAATGCTCCAGCCCCAGGACAGCATGGTCTTCAGGGACTCTCTGACCGACCCACAGTACGACTCCTTATCCTGAAACACAACAACACACAACCCTGAGAGTCCCAGCTGCCAACACCAGACTGAACCGGTCCATCACCGATGTTTCCATCAGGTTTGACCCACAAACAGAGTCAAACAAACAGGTCGGGATTTTCTCAGCCAACTGATGATTGGCTAACTGTAAACAGCTATTGACAACAGCCAAAGAGAGGCTGGAACACAGGAAGTAGAGTGAGAAGAAACAGGAAGTAGAATCAGAGGAGATAGGAAGTACAGAGAATAGAAAAGATCAGCAGTGTCTGTTAGTCTGGAGCCACTGACCCACTGGTGAGTCCACAGCTCATCTTTGGACCTTTACATTTAAAGTTCGTCAACAAGTATCCAGTTAAGAGGATGGGGAGATGAAATTCTCATCTACTGAGTTAAAGAACCAATCACGTTACCTTCTCACTCAGGCCTTTGTATGGTTTCAGCAGAGGGTGTGTCCTGTTGACGTCACACTGTTGATCAGCGAATGTCCAGCCGCTGGAAAACTGTACAAACACACAGAAATATTTATGTTTGAGCAGTCATCAAGTGAGGGGGGGTGGGAGGGTCACCCTGGACCCCAACTGTCCATCAAAGGGTCCTGTATTAACACAAATCTGTCCAAACTTATCCTGCATTATCTGGCTTTTCAGTTGAACCACTAGGTGGCGCACTCAAAATAATCTCTAATATTGATTCTAGGTGTAGTGTTCTTACCTTTTCTATGCACCACTTCTCATGGTTGTGTTCTGAGTATCTGCTGATGATGTAGTCCAGCTTCTCTGGAACAGTCACACTAACAGGAGAAATCATGGTGTCATCTGTCTAAAGTCTCATTTCCGACATTTCTGTAAACCATCAGACATTAGGGTGGTGTTTACTTGGTGGTGTCTGCAGGCTGCGGTGTGAAGTTTCCCTCTGAGTCCATGGACGACTGTTTCTCCATCATGGCCATGTAGTTGGACTCCATGTAGTCTGGGGGCAGAGCTCCAGCCACGGCGCTCAGACAGGGCAACGCCAACTTGAACAGCTCCTGGTCGTAACGCTGAACACAAGGAGACGCAGAGTCACGCAGAGCGTCTGTTACTCAGACCATGTGAAAGTTATATCTTTATTTGTATTGAAGGTTTAGAAAGTGAGAAGGTGACCTTCTGACCTTGTGCGACAGGGCATCAAATATTCCCCAGAAGAGTTTCCTGGAGAGATGAAGCTCTTCATCTGAAGCTGCTCCAAAGTTTCCCCAGCCTCCAACCAGACAGTAGTACTTCCAGCAACGCTCGTAGTGATTGGTCAGCAGCTGAGGACCCAACCAGGGAGCAGCATGAACACCTGACACCTGACTGTGGTCCTTGTACAGGTTCTGGTTCATTGTGTTCCTCACCTTCAGAGGCATCTTGGTGTGCTCGTTGAGCAGAGGAACATCAAACACCAACCTCCTGAGGAGATGCTGCATCATGGACGGCCTCAGCTTCCTGTTTGTATTTAATCAACATCATTGGTTGGTTGACAAGAACCTTTCAAACAAACTGTGCTGCTGGTTTGAATCCCGCTCTCACCCGCAGACGGCCAGCAGACACTCCTCGATGGCATCTCTCTGAGCTTTGGTCAGACAGCAGCCTTTGGACAGACGGTAGACGGTGTGGAGCAGGGAGTCGATGAGGGAGGCGAACGGCTCGGTGCCAGCAAAGAGGGGAGCGCACTTGGTGAGGAGGGGGAGGACGGCCGTGCACAGGTATCTGTTCAGAGCCAGAGCCATGTCTGTGGCACTGAGGGCAACCTGAGGAGGAGAGGGTAGAGGGGAGTGAAGACAAGAGGACAGGTGAGAAAAAGAGGAAGGCACAGGGGGGAGGGGCTGATCTGACTGTCGACTCAAACATGTTACAGTGTACACACACACACACTCACAGTGTCCAGCGAGGCCGCTGCTCTCAGGTCTGGCAGGAATCCCACTTCCAGCAGATGCAGCAGGAAGTTCTGGTCCTCGATGCCGTAGACCCGGTCCAGGAACAGAACCATGGCTGCTTTGTGGTCCGGACAGAAGCCAGCAGACATGTCAGGCTCCACCACCATCCCATCTGTGAGCACGCGCACACACGCACACATTACTGTAGTAATACTCAGAGGTTCTGACCAGTGGCCAGTTTATCACTAGGTAGGTGAACCTACCTTTACCCAGACTGGGCATGGAGAACGGAATACTGATGACTCCCACCAGGTCCTGGATGGGGATGAGGGACCTGAGGATGGCTCTGATCCGGATCGCTTCTCCTTTACCTGCATGGATGAGCTGATGGGGAAGAAGACAGAGGACAGTTGGTGTGGGAGACGGTTGACTGGATGAACTGTGTGTGGGTGTGGGCACATCACTCACGTGCATCTCTGGAGCACAGCGCCCCAACAGGTCAATCAGAGCAGCATAGAAAGTCATGATGGCGTTTCCCATGTGGATGGTGTCGTCCTCCTCATCCTCCAGTATGTCACTGCTACACACACACACACACGTTGACATCTAACAATCTGAGGATTTCAGTTCTTCTTCTACAGTCAGTTTGTGTCAGATGTTTCCTCACAGGGATTTGCTGCTCTCTGTTGTTGGAGAAGGACCATCTCTGCTCGGATCTTCTGAGATCCTGATGGCCTCCTCCACGGCTGCCAGCAGACCGTCACCACCTTCACCTCGGAGGGCAGGCCCGAAACATTCAGGGCGACGGATCAGCAGCCGCACCACAACGTTAGCGTTCTCTTCTACGCTTTCACCTGAAGATGGAGCGGCAGAAGAACAGTTAAGGCTGGAGCCACCTTGGAGACACACCACTGGGTTTGGACAATCACACTTTTTTTTCACCATTGCAGAAAACGGCGAAGCGTAGGAAGTCCAGGTATCGTTCTCCCTCCACAGGGTTCCAGCCGATGTCAGGGTAACCTTTCCGCAGCAACATGGCGCAGCTCTGTAGACCACAGCCGGCCAGGTACTGGACCACCTGAGGAGAAGAGAAGAGAAGACAACAAGTGAGTATGATGATCTTCACTGTCCTCTGAGGAGCTGAGGAGGTGATGCTCACCTTCTCCAGGTCTGGTTCCCTCAGAGCCAGAGCCAACTCATTATTATCCATCACTGAGGCTGCAGCCACGTCCAGAGGGGTGGAGCCTCGCATGGAGGGAGAGGCTGAAGAGGAGCAAGAGGAGGAGCACAGAGAAGAGAGGAGGAGATTAAAGAAGGAAACTAACAGTGATGATCCAGAAGAGACGGTAGGCGATGAGAGGAGTGTGTTTTTAAAAACGTCTCAGTAAACCTCCACACCATTGAGGGAGCAGATAGGAAGGAGTTGGGACAGGAAAGGACACAGGAAAGGAAACATGAGAGGAGACACACAGACACTGACCGAGGCCGACGCTGCTGTTCTCCAGCAGATAACTGAGATGATCGAACATGGCCTTCTGGTTCTGCCGGCTGATCCTACAGAAGTAACAGAGGAACCTGCAGCAGTTAGCCACCATCTTTGGAAAGGTGATTTCCTGGAACATGGAGGAGAACATCAGCCTGACATGTAAATCCAGGTCTGGAGGTTCCTGCTCAGATGTTCATTTTCTATCAGTACCTTAGAGTCTCCTCCACTCAGAACATTGACCATGACCTCCATGACGGTCTCATGCATCCCCAGAGCCCTCATCAGGTTTGGGTGCTGGTAGAAGACCTTGTTGTTCATGATGTCCCTGCGAGCAGGAAGTCAGAACTTCAGTGGACAATTTTGAACCTGGAGGATTTGTTTTTTTGATGAGTGTTCTTCTCACCCCAGGCCTCGGATCATGAGTTTCTCCTCCTCTCTCCCCATGCGAACACTCAGCAGAGACCTTATCTGACCCAGAGCTGCCAGCAGGTTGATTGTGTCCTCAATGGACACTGAATTTATGGTGTAGGTCTTAGGAAGAGCCCGGACCTTCACCGCCACAAAGACAAACACATGGATGAAGATTCAGTTCTCCAGAAAACACAGACACTTTGACACTTTCTTCTGATGGTGGTATACCAGGATTATGGGATGTAAACTCTGTCTGGGGTTTCGTCAAAGACGTAAACTATTAACCATAGACGTTGGTAGGTGTGACTGAGAAGTCCACAAACCTGCCAGACTTATCTATGTGCCCCACCTATGGTCCATCTTCATATAATCTTTTCTGACAGATCTCCCACCTATGATCTTCATATAATCTTTTCTGACAGATCTTTTTAAAGCCCCTCACCAGACCCCCGATGCCGTCGTACTGACGGTGCAGCAGGACAAACATGGCTCTGACCAGTTCTGGGTCTTCTATGACCGACTCCTGAGCCCACCGGACCATGGTGTCTGAGATCAGCTGCTGCAGTGTACCTGCAGGAAGACAGAAGACTGGTTTAAGACTAAGAGGACCAGAGGGTGGAGGACCAGAGGGTGGAGGACGGTGCAGGAACTCACTGGGCTTCCTGTCTTTCTTCTCGTTGGGCAGGTTGACCATCTTCTTCTTCAGGTAGGACACTTTCTCCACCAAGGACAGAAGGCGCCCTCTGATGGTGAAATCACTGTCACTGTCCAGACCTCGGTCCTCGTCCAACTCTATACCTGACAGGAAGGACAGCTCAGTCTTTGTAGCACTTTGTCCAGGTCACTCTTTACTGGTGCCTGGATCTTTAACACATTCACTCAGATTTTTAACTGAAATATAACTAAGTTGGTCTCTGTTAAAAAGACATTTTACTCTCAGTAAGAAGATCTGCCCTATATACCCCCCCACGTCTACATTACCACAGTGTCTCATCAGGTCTTCGTGGAAGTCCAGCAGCTGTTCCCTGATGTACTCAGGACATGGACAGTCCTGCTTCTCGTCCTTGAAGTTCAGCAGCATGTTGATCTGATCAGACACAGTTCATTGGTCATCACAGAGAACCAACCACAGCCCCAGGTCTTACTGGCCCAGTTCTTACCTGCTCCTGTGGGGGTGACCTGAACTCTTTGGTTTTCTTAGCAGTGAGAGCCGCGGACATGTTGAGCGCTAGCATCACCTCGTTGTAGCGGAAACGCTGGTTTTCCTGGAGACACGCTACAAAGTCGTCGGAGAAGGCAACGACCGCCTCAATACGGTGACGGATCTGACAGTCGCACAAATACTGCAGCACGTGACACATCTGTATTCACACACACGATCACATGGTTACAGTCAGTACCATCACAGGTGAGATTTCATCTGTCACAATTATTAACAAACTACAACAAACAACAAGTGACTTTGACTGAGTGAAGGCCTGAAGAACCTGAGCTGATGGTTTACCTGCAGCTTCACCGGCTCAGGCAGCTTCATCTGCAGTAGTCCTTCTTTGAGCAAACTCCTCCCACCGTCCTCACCTCCTTCAGCCTGCGCCTCCTTCCCTGCCTTCTGTGCCCGGCCGTTGTCCTGTGAGTCTCGTCTTTCAGAGAACACAGACGGCTCGATGAGACACAGGATGTTCTTCAGGTCTCCGTTTTGGAACACTCCCATAATTAGCATGGTGTAAAAAAGTTTAATGAGTGGGACAAAGAGGAACTCTGTGCTGCCCCCTATTGGGTCTCTCACATGCATGCTTCCCTCCCGCACTGCCTCTGTTAGCATCTCTATGGTTTTGACTTTCAGGATCTCCAGAGGAAACTCTGGGCTGTACTGGAAACAGTCCCCAGATCCTCCTCCGCCACCTGCTGTACTGCTGCTACTGTTGTTACGATACAACGACCCAGTGCCAGAGACAAAACTCGGAGAGGAGAAGTGCATTCTGGGTCTTAGGGATGTGCTGAGGCCGATGCCTGGGAGGCCATGTTTCTTCTCCTCCTGGGGAAACAGTGTGATGCTCTTGGTTTCATCCGTCATGGGAACAATGTACTCGTTGTTCATCATCAGGCGAGCAGTGGCGTAGCTGCTCAGGTGGATGTCGATCAGGAGGTCGTAGTAGCCCGCACGCAGCAAACCTAACAGTCACAGACAAACTGGAGAATTAGAACAAACACACACAACGTCCTGCTTCCTGTGAAAACACTGTAGAAAGTGTTCAAACTGCTGAAAGTCTGGAACCATTTAAAAAAGACAAAACTGATCAAACTAACTCTCAAACAAACCAAATGGCCAAAAATATGAACTACATAAAAACACAGCTAAGAGACGTGCTGACAGGTTCAAGTCTAATTTAACAATCTTTAACTCGATGTAATCAAGACCTAAAACAGAGCCAACGTTTAGGTTGAAACCTCAGTTCAGCTGTTCAGATAGTGACAGTTAAAATAACTATTAATTAAAGGTAGGAGACTAGTAGTTTCCCTATTTTTGGACTTTGGTGTTGGTGATCACATGACCTTCTCACCTGGCATGTACTTGTTCTGTATGGCCTGCAGCAGCTGAGCTTCGTCCACGTGCGAGCACAGAGCGTGGGCCACGCGGTTGTTGCCCAGAGCACAGATGGCGGAGTACAGTCTGAGGGTGTGGTAGTGGAACTTCAGGATGTCTTTACGCTCAGACAACTCCAGGACGTCCATGGACCTGGAGGCAGAGACACATGGGGGACACAGAGAGGAGACAGACCACATGACCAAATTGAAATCTGCAATCACTCACTGAAGCTCCGCCCAAAAAGGTTTAAGGATTCTTCTACAAAACACAAATAAATGCCAACCATAAACACGTTATCCAGAAATGTGGAGAAATGATTGTGATTGACTGAATGATTGACAGGCATTAGACAAAAAAACAGCTGAGCAAATAATATGAAGTGATTCATGATCCATGTTTGTATGAAAGAAGGTTCCCCAGGTTCTAGCAGGTTCTTCCTCTCACCTGTTCTCCTCTGGGATGTGCAGAGACATGAACTGCAGAGGTTCATTACACTGGATCAACCAGCCATGTCTGTCATTCACTCTGGATACTGCCACCTGCAGGACAAACCAAATAAACGTAAAACAAAGAAACAAAAGAAAACATGAGAGTTCTGATTTTTGGAACGTTACTTCAACACTAATGTAAATATCTGATGCTAACAACAAGATCTGTCACAATTATTAACAAACTACAACAAACAACAAGTGACTTTGACTGAGTGAAGGCCTGAAGAACCTGAGCTGATGGCTTACCTGCAGCTTCACCGGCTCAGGCAGCTTCATCTGCAGTAGTCCTTCTTTGAGCAAACTCCTCCCACCGTCCTCACCTCCTTCAGCCTGCGCCTCCTTCCCTGCCTTCTGTGCCCGGCCGTCGTCCTGTGAGTCTCGTCTTTCAGAGAACACAGACGGCTCGATGAGACACAGGATGTTCTTCAGGTCTCCGTTTTGGAACACTCCCATAATTAGCATGGTGTAAAAAAGTTTAATGAGTGGGACAAAGAGGAACTCTGTGCTGCCCCCTATTGGGTCTCTCACATGCATGCTTCCCTCCCGCACTGCCTCTGTTAGCATCTCTATGGTTTTGACTTTCAGGATCTCCAGAGGAAACTCTGGGCTGTACTGGAAACAGTCCCCAGATCCTCCTCCTCCACCTGCCGTACTGCTGCTACTGTTGTTACGATACAACGACCCAGTGCCAGAGACAAAACTCGGAGAGGAGAAGTGCATTCTGGGTCTTAGGGATGTGCTGAGGCCGATGCCTGGGAGGCCATGTTTCTTCTCCTCCTGGGGAAACAGTGTGATGCTCTTGGTTTCATCCGTCATGGGAACAATGTACTCGTTGTTCATCATGAGGCGAGCAGTGGCGTAGCTGCTCAGGTGGATGTCGATCAGGAGGTCGTAGTAGCCAGCACGCAGCAAACCTAACAGTCACAGACAAACTGGAGAATTAGAACAAACACACACAACGTCCTGCTTCCTGTGAAAACACTGTAGAAAGTGTTCAAACTGCTGAAAGTCTGGAACCATTTAAAAAAGACAAAACTGATCAAACTAACTCTCAAACAAACCAAATGGCCAAAAATATGAACTACATAAAAACACAGCTAAGAGACGTGCTGACAGGTTCAAGTCTAATTTAACAATCTTTAACTCGATGTAATCAAGACCTAAAACAGAGCCAACGTTTAGGTTGAAACCTCAGTTCAGCTGTTCAGATAGTGACAGTTAAAATAACTATTAATTAAAGGTAGGAGACTAGTAGTTTCCCTATTTTTGGACTTTGGTGTTGGTGATCACATGACCTTCTCACCTGGCATGTACTTGTTCTGTATGGCCTGCAGCAGCTGAGCTTCGTCCACGTGCGAGCACAGAGCGTGGGCCACGCGGTTGTTGCCCAGAGCACAGATGGCGGAGTACAGTCTGAGGGTGTGGTAGTGGAACTTCAGGATGTCTTTACGCTCAGACAACTCCAGGACGTCCATGGACCTGGAGGCAGAGACACATGGGGGACACAGAGAGGAGACAGACCACATGACCAAATTGAAATCTGCAATCACTCACTGAAGCTCCGCCCAAAAAGGTTTAAGGATTCTTCTACAAAACACAAATAAATGCCAACCATAAACACGTTATCCAGAAATGTGGAGAAATGATTGTGATTGACTGAATGATTGACAGGCATTAGACAAAAAAACAGCTGAGCAAATAATATGAAGTGATTCATGATCCATGTTTGTATGAAAGAAGGTTCCCCAGGTTCTAGCAGGTTCTTCCTCTCACCTGTTCTCCTCTGGGATGTGCAGAGACATGAACTGCAGAGGTTCATTACACTGGATCAACCAGCCATGTCTGTCATTCACTCTGGATACTGCCACCTGCAGGACAAACCAAATAAACGTAAAACAAAGAAACAAAAGAAAACATGAGAGTTCTGATTTTTGGAACGTTACTTCAACACTAATGTAAATATCTGATGCTAACTGCTGCTGAATGGACTTAAAGGAGCATTTCAACGTTTGTCCTGCTGAGTACATGTTATTAGTTGTTCCCTCCAGCTCTTTTTTTAAGGAAAGGTAAAGATGCAGACCTTCAGGAAGTGGTTTGGAACACGACTCCATAAAACCGGAGTTAAGAACTGGACGTGAAGACGAGGAGGACACTGAGGAACGACGTTCTTCCTCTCACTCCTGAACAGACCAGCTGACAGAGGCATCACATTCTGAGCGCACGCACGCACACACACACACACACACACACATACACACAGTGATGAGTGAACAGGAGCTAAAGGGTAACTCCAACATGACTAACAGTTAGCTTTTCGCGTGTCCTCTCACCTTCATTCGTCCCAGTTCAAACTGGAAGATGTTTGGACTGGTGGCTTTGGCAAAGACGGCAGGAAACAGTTTGGTGCTGGGCTCAACCTGTGGAGAGGAAAAGAAGAGTTGAGTCATTCATCACTCTGCCCAGGTCCAGCTGAGGAACGGAGGAGGAGGAGAAGGTGAAGGAGTTCCACCTGGTAGTAGGTGCTGAGCTCTTTGCCGTTAGCAGTGAAGGTCAGGAGTCCGTTTGTGGTGTCCACCAAACACCCGATCTCCAGACCGTTGTTGTTCCGTCCCTGTCCGGGGCTGCTGTTCTCTCCAGCCCACACCATGTAGCAGTTACTGCGCTTTATACTGAGTGACGACACACACACACACACATACGTCACACTGTTGGTAAAAGATCTAGTCGTTTTATGTTGATGTAGTTATTGAGAAGCAGACTCTCTCTGAGCTCAGTACCAGCTCCTGTGGAACCAACCAGTGAACAGTACCATCTTGTTTCCTCACCTCTCATGAACTTTGCCCTTCTCGTCTCCCAGGGTCACAGTGACAGTTCTGACTTTGTGCAGTTCAAATCCAGGGTCGTACTGGTGGAAGTCTGAGGTGACCCAGCCGACCCACACGCTGCTGGGCTCCTGGCCCGGGAAGATCCTCACAGAGTAGTAGTACTGATGAGAAAGAGGGCGGAGCCAAGACTGAATCACCCTGACGTTCCATCTGTGATATCATGATTCCAGAAGCTTCTACTCACGGTGGAGGCCTGAAACAGGAAGTCATAGTCGTCTCTGTCGTCCCCCATCACTTCCTCTGACAGTCGGGCAGATGTTGCGCAGCTGTTGTCAGGTTTGTTCTTCTTCAGGGTGAACCTGGTGGAGCACAGACGTGGTTTGGGTTCCACTCTGAACAGAAGTGAAAACAGGCCATGTGGGACTCACCTCTGTTTGAGCTTGGACGGTTTCTCCTGGTTATAGTCCTTGTGGTTGTTGAACTCGTCCCTCTCTGGGCCCCCGGGTCCGTTTGGTCCATGAGGGGACTTCATCAGAACCTCAAAGTCTGAGACTGTTTCAAAGTCCTCCAGTTCCTGTGAGCAGGGACAGTTAGCAGGTGGAGGAACTGTTAGAGTAAGGTAGAACTTACTTAACAGTACTCACCCTCTTGGGTGAGAAGAGTCCTCCATTCGTCCTGGTCCTGGAGTAGGACTCGGCACACTCTATAGGCATGCTGAGTCTGTAGAAGGTCAAGTCGTTGTGACTGTTCTGTGAACCAAATGACCTCTGGGTGACCTTCAGGCATGGACACAGCTCCACCGTCCCGTCAACCCTCAGCACCTGAGGAGGACAGGGGGGACTTGAGCAGATGGACATGTGTCCTACAACTGGACGCACAGATTTGTTGAGAACCTCAGAGACCTGTTGTCCCTGGCTGTCCCTGGTTGTCCTCACCTCTATGTGCTGGTGGTTTGGAGGAACTGGTACAAACTGTGGCAGCCTCTTGCTGAGCCACATGGTCACGTCCCTGTTCATGTTGACAGCAAAGGGCTCGTAGCCCTCCTGCAGCCCACAGATGGTGAAGTACTTCAAGGTGCTGACGTCTTTGCCAAAGTTCATCCTGCCCACCTGACCCACACCCAGACTGCAGACTGGGACCAAACCTGTGACCAAGGTGGAGAATCAGACAGTGTTTACTGCTCTGTCAGAGTCCATGAAGACATGTCAGCTCACAGAGACACACTGCTGCCTCTGGTGGTCAGTTTGAGTTAGTGAACTCTGGACTGGAAGGACTAGAAAATAAGACATCTGAACTGAGTGATGGACCATCAACTGCAGTGTGTCTGTGAGCTAACGTCACGACACGTCACTGTGGACTGTGGTCTGTTGTCAGTGATTTCACTCTGACCTTCTCCTGCTTCAAAGTCCTTGAAGGCCAGCTCGGAGCCTGAATCATCCAGCAGGACTTCTCCGTTCAGCGTGAACATCATTGTGTGTTCATTCAGATCCACCATGCAGCCCGCGACGTCACCCATCTGCCACGCCCGCCCAAAGTGCTCATTACCCTGGTGCCAGCGCTGGACCTGGATGAAGAGTCAGAGATGAACCTTGGAGTCTGGAAGAAGATGAGGTTCTGATCTGGGACTAAACCTTGAAACTACGTCAGCACACACTGACCTTGAACCCATCAAAGACGAAGGCCTGATCATCAGAGCCCAGCTCCTGGTCTGGGAGACATCCTGGTCTGGCCCAGCCCACTCTCATCTCTCCTGACGTCAGCACCTAGACCAGACAGAGAACAAACTTCACCCTGACTCCTGAGGCCGCAGGTCATCAGCGACAAGCCCAGGGGGTTTGGATTAGCATGAATGAATCCACATCCGTGCCCACCCCTCACCTCCAGCTCAAAGTACCACTTCCCAGAGTGGACGCTGTAGGTCTTCTCTGCCCTGAAGATGCGGAACCTCTCAGTGGACACGCCGTTGATGTCGGACTGAGCAGCTGTGGTTAAAAACACAGGATTATGAAGGAGGTCATTCTGGACTGGAGAACACAACCACCACAGTGATCTGGTACCGTGGTCCTGGTCTGGAGCCTCCAGGTTAAAGCCATATCCCAGCAGAGTCCTGACGGCCTCTCGCAGACTGTCCTTGTTGGACTTCTTTGTCCTCTCGTCCAGCAGAGTGTACGGCACCAGACGAGGGTTCCTACGGTTCTTAACGTCCTGGAAGAACAAGAACATTCAACTCACGTACTTATGACAGTGAGTCCATTAGTACAGACCAGGCTTCCTGCTACAGGCTAACGCGTTAGCATGTTAGCCATCTGTTTAAATGATCATGTTAGTATCTGCTGCGGTCCAGGGCAGTTGGAGACCAGCAGGTCCTCCATCCACCTGTTAATACACACACACACCAGTAAACAAACACACATGTGGGACAGCAGGTGTCACCTGCTGGATGCCGTAGGTCCAGCCCTGGTGGATGCGGTCCCTGGCCCACACGTTGTGTGCGTTCTCAGCCAGTTTGTCAACCATGGCCTCCTGGGTGGAGGTCAGTTTGATGTGGTTCAGGTCCAGAGGAGCAGGTTTATAACCACTGGACAACTGGTAGCTGCACAGATAAAGGTGGGGGCACAGAGAGGTCAGTGGGTGAAGACCTCCACCTCAGCAGTCGTCTGATCAAGACACTTACGTCGATGAAAGTTTCATTCTCTTCACTTTCTCCACTGCGTGTTCGTCTGCAAGACCAACGTGGCAGCCCAAGGCCAGGAGGGTCCTGTCACACACACACACACACACACGTATGTTGCATTGTCTGACTGATACACAGAGTTCTTTACAGACAAACAGGAGCTTTTGTTTTAAATTCAAATGTTTGACTTCAGGATTATCACTGGATTAAAACCAGGTCAGAGCAGATTAGTATGTCGTTATCACATTAGTACTTGAAGTATTTTACCCCTTCAAATATTTTATTGGTGGGGTAATTGTTAATCAGCCCTGACAGCGAACTATACTGTACTGAACTCTTCCATGAACATGTTCGTTTTGGACGTTGTTGAGGAAGGACAAACGTACTTGAGCGTCTCCAGCGACATCTGCAGGTTGTAGCTGCGCTCCTGTTCAGGAAGTTTAGAGAACTCCACCAGACAGGGGTGCTGTCGCTTGTTATCGTCCCGCACCTGGAAGAACATCAGGTCTTCAACACTCACGCGTGAACTTTGGAACAAAACTTTAAAAACTCAAATACTTCCTATTTTCCAGTTACTACAGTATTGTCCAGGCTGATACTCACAGCACCGAAGGTCCAGCCCAGTTCGATCTTGTTCATCACCCACAGTTCATGGATGTTTTCTGCCAGTTTCTCCCTGATCCTCTCCAGGTGAGGAGGCAACACAATCTACACACACACAAAAGAAATCCCCAATTCACAGTAATGAGTTCTATTCATCACAAAAAATACCAAGATAAAAAATTTAACTTTTTTTTTTCTTGTCCCACCACTAATTTGTAGTTGCCAAAATTAGAGTAGAACACAAAGAATGTAGCGTCTCTTCCTCCCCTGCAGGGGGAGCTATACACTCTCTCTCTCTTTACCTGGCTGGTGTCCACTGGTGTTGGGGTGAACGCAGCCTGGCTCAGGGTCACTGTTGGTCCCAGCAGGTCTCTGGCAGCGGTCTGGTCCTGACCAGCCTCCAGTTTCAGCTTCTCTCTGGGCAGAACAGCCTCACAGCAGGGGGCGTAACCCGGAGGAGGAAGGAACTTGAACTCTCCGTGTCGACCCCCCAGGAGGAAACGAACCCTGGAAACAGTCAAAGGTGGCATGGTCAGATGAAGGTGTTTGTGGGTGTGGTTGTGGTGCTGGTGTGGTGGAGCACTGACTTGACTCCAGCAGAGAAGCTGACCACAGGGAAGAAGAGGCCGTCCGAGTTGAAGTTCTCAAACATCCCCTGGACCGGCTGACCATTGATTCTGAAGGAGATGCTGGGCACGCTGAGGTCCAGGCAGCAGCTCACCACGTCCTCTGAACGCAGCAGGTGCTGATTCGGGGAGCTGACGCTACGGGCGATGCAGCCTGAAGACGTTTGACGGATGGAGACAGTGAGGACAACATTTAAAGATGGAGACTGGAACGTAACCCTCCTCCATTTACCATCAAAGCAGAACAAGAGCATGTGCTGAACTGGTCCTTTCATGTGACTCACCTGACCACAGGTGGAGTCCATCAAAGCCGTAGGAGTAAAGGTCATCACCCACCCCGTTGCCACCCCATCCTTCCCCCCCGCTTGGGTAGGGGGCGTACCCACTGGTGTTGGCCCAGCCCACTCTGAGGTGAGTGGCCTCCGCTGTGACAAACGGCAGCATCTGGTCCACGATCAGCTCGTAGTACCACTTCCTGTACTGGGCGGAGCCATCACTGACGCCCAGGAAGATGTTTGGACGCATGCTGTGGGCGGAGCCAAAGACAGGGCAGGTGTCATCTGTGGGTTCGTCTGCATTTGTGTCCTAGTGTGTATTGGTGTGTGTGTTAGGACTAGTTAGCATGTTTAACTGTGTGAGCAGGTTAGCACCTGCTAGCTTGTGTGTACCTGCTAACATGGCTGACCAGTCTTGTCTGCAGCAGCAGGTCTCGTCCCGGCAGCAGGTTGTCACAGATCAGGTTCTGGTTGGAGCGAACAGCCACGCCGTTACACACACACAGAGAACACAGAACATCCAGAACCTAAACACACACACACAGAGACACACACACAGATAGATCACACATGGTGATCCCTCATCTTCATGTCTGCAGGCAGTGAAGGTCTGAGGGACGTGTTGGACCTTGTGGTTCCGTCCGTGTTTGTCCAGCAGAGATATGATGGACTTGATGTGTCCTTCCTTGATGATGTTCAGAGCTTCAGGACTTTCCACCAGAACACAGTGAAGAACCTCTAGGATTCCTGCAACAACAACAACATCATCAACACACACACACACACACACAGTGGTGAAGAAATGAACCAATGAAAAACAAGAAGAACCAAGTCTTGGCAGAGACATCAGCACCAGACTCTGCCCTCTGTTTGACCTGAGTATCAGCACAACGTCTCAACATGACATAGGACAACAGAGTGACCCTGGTCTGACCCTCACACAGATGAATGGGTCATGGTGACCTACCAGAGGACGCCTCCAGGCGCTCCAGCCTGCTGACCAGCCAGTCCAGAGAACCAGAAAACTGAGCACAGTTCTTCCTGTTCCCTCTGATCAGAGCCGCTGAGGGGAGGACAGCGGACAGAGGACAGGGGAGAGAGGACAGGAGACAGGTCAGATAAAGGAACATATTGCTGAGTCCACATCTGGGTCCACAGGTGTCTTCTAATTGGACCATTTCTTGGGAGTCTTTCTAGGACTTTAATGATCATTTGGGCCAAACATGTATTAAACCCACCTTCAGTCATCCAGGAGTGGAACCACAGGCCGGTTATTAAATTCTTTAGTTTCATCGTCACAAACCCTCTAACATGTGGGATTCCTTTTTACTGGTGTGCTACCATTAATATTGACACATCACACATATGTGGGCGGAGTCAGTCCGGTTCTTCTGTCTTACCCAGCAGTTGGTAGAGGGAGTTGAGGATGGAGCTCCAGGACTCTCCTGCCTCCCGACCAACGGCCTCTGCAAAGTGAGCGGCGCTGCTGTAGACGTGGAGACGGTCGATGCACTCCAGCACCAGGCTGATCATGCCCTGTACACACACACACACACACCACTCTGAGGTGCGTGGCCTCCGCTGTGACAAACGGCAGCATCTGGTCCACGATCAGCTCGTAGTACCACTTCCTGTACTGGGCGGAGCCATCACTGACGCCCAGGAAGATGTTTGGACGCATGCTGTGGGCGGAGCCAAAGACAGGGCAGGTGTCATCTGTGGGTTCGTCTGCATTTGTGTCCTAGTGTGTATTGGTGTGTGTGTTAGGACTAGTTAGCATGTTTAACTGTGTGAGCAGGTTAGCACCTGCTAGCTTGTGTGTACCTGCTAACATGGCTGACCAGTCTTGTCTGCAGCAGCAGGTCTCGTCCCGGCAGCAGGTTGTCACAGATCAGGTTCTGGTTGGAGCGAACAGCCACGCCGTTACACACACACAGAGAACACAGAACATCCAGAACCTAAACACACACACACAGAGACACACACACAGATAGATCACACATGGTGATCCCTCATCTTCATGTCTGCAGGCAGTGAAGGTCTGAGGGACGTGTTGGACCTTGTGGTTCCGTCCGTGTTTGTCCAGCAGAGATATGATGGACTTGATGTGTCCTTCCTTGATGATGTTCAGAGCTTCAGGACTTTCCACCAGAACACAGTGAAGAACCTCTAGGATTCCTGCAACAACAACAACATCATCAACACACACACACACACACAGTGGTGAAGAAATGAACCAATGAAAAACAAGAAGAACCAAGTCTTGGCAGAGACATCAGCACCAGACTCTGCCCTCTGTTTGACCTGAGTATCAGCACAACGTCTCAACATGACATAGGACGACAGAGTGACCCTGGTCTGACCCTCACACAGATGAATGGGTCATGGTGACCTACCAGAGGACGCCTCCAGGCGCTCCAGCCTGCTGACCAGCCAGTCCAGAGAACCAGAAAACTGAGCACAGTTCTTCCTGTTCCCTCTGATCAGAGCCGCTGAGGGGAGGACAGCGGACAGAGGACAGGGGAGAGAGGACAGGAGACAGGTCAGATAAAGGAACATATTGCTGAGTCCACATCTGGGTCCACAGGTGTCTTCTAATTGGACCATTTCTTGGGAGTCTTTCTAGGACTTTAATGATCATTTGGGCCAAACATGTATTAAACCCACCTTCAGTCATCCAGGAGTGGAACCACAGGCCGGTTATTAAATTCTTTAGTTTCATCGTCACAAACCCTCTAACATGTGGGATTCCTTTTTACTGGTGTGATACCATTAATATTGACACATCACACGTATGTGGGCGGAGTCAGTCCGGTTCTTCTGTCTTACCCAGCAGTTGGTAGAGGGAGTTGAGGATGGAGCTCCAGGACTCTCCTGCCTCCCGACCAACGGCCTCTGCAAAGTGAGCGGCGCTGCTGTAGACGTGGAGACGGTCGATGCACTCCAGCACCAGGCTGATCATGCCCTGTACACACACACACACACATTAGAGCTGCTGAGTGTGTGTTTGTGAATTGTTCACACACCATTCAATTCAACATCTTTAAACTCTGTCCAACAGTTTAAACCACAGACCAAACCTCATGGAGAAAACCATCGATTTAAGCTCCATCCCTGAGTCTGGTCGTGGTCCTGAGCCAGACTGGAGCAGGTAGTAGACCAGGGTCTGACTGTGGTTCTGTTATCACTGAACATTACCTCCTCCTGAAAGAGGTTCTGTCGGTTCTTCAGTGCTCTCAGGCGGTTCTGCTTGTCCTCGTGTTCTAGGTGGTCCCCTGGTGGTTGGAAGTAGCCAATCAGGTCCTGCAGACTCAGGCTGACTGACTCTATGGGCAGCTCTAACGTGGAACCCGCTCCCTTTTTCCTCAGCGTGTCCAGACCCCTGGACAGGAGGGGACAGAGTTAAAGTGTCTGTGAGTGTGTGCGTGTGCATGTGTGTGTGTGTGTGCGCACATGTCAACTACCTGATGAAGAGGTTGAAGAGAAAGACGGTGCTGCGGATCACCCTGGCCGTTCGACTCTCCTCGTGCTGCGACCGTGACAGAGTCAGCCCGTCGTCCATGTGACCTTCGTGGTGCATGATGGCCTGAAACAGGAAGTGGTCAGGTAAGCCTAACAGACAGCTGCTCACACTGACCCTGTTAACCACCAGGACACAGACGTCCACACAGACGTCCAGAGAGGAAGGGACTGATTAAAGGAGCACCTTTCTTTGAACTCCGCCCATGCGGACACACTTGGCGTCGGCCGTCTGATAGGTCAGCCACAGGTAGGTGTCCACATGTTGGATGAAACACACGGAGTCTCCGTACTTGATGTCAGGGAAGCCCATCCCATCGACTTCCTTCTTCACACCAGGGTCCAACTTCTCCTGGGTTCCAGAAAAGAAAAAAAAAATAGTGAGAAAATAAAAATATATCAAAAGATACAAACAACTAATCTGTCCAGTGTCGGTCTGTGCTGCTGGATTTAACGTTGGACAGACTGCCAGTACTGCTGGTACTAGTAGTACTGGGAGACAGGTATTTGCTGAGGTGGTACCAGGTGTATTTCCTGTCTACGTCTCCTGGGTCTAACTCCATCTGAGGGCTTGTTGGTCCAGTACCTTGGAGGACCTGAAGCAGAAGGCTGTGGACTTGATGTCTGCCTTCTCCTTGTCCATTAGCTGCAGACACTTGTCTTCAATCAGACTCAGATATTTCCCGGTGGTCACATGTCTCAGTCGGAAAGGTTGACCCCAGCGGATGTGGCTCCCGCTCCAGCTGCAGGTAAAACCATTTAAATGTCTTTTTAGTAATCTGTGTAAAAATCAGTGTTGACATCTAGTGGTAACACTGCACAGTACAACTAACACAGGACTTTGTTTCTTCAACAGCACGTCAGTCAACATGACACTGTACTCACACCACCCTCAGAGTCTCCAGTCTCCACAGGGACCGGGCGTGACTGGACACAGCTCCTCCCTCATAGTGAACTGCCCTGAGGTTCAAAAACAAAAAACAGAAAATGTAAAAAAAAATAAAAAATAAAGAAATAATAAAACAAACTTGGTGTCAGAGAAAAACAATCTGCAGTTCTGTTCAGTTATTCTGTTATTTGGTTTGTCAGCAGTGAGCCACTTCCAGGCCTGTAGGTGGAGCTAAGAACTGATCCATGTCCCGCTTTTACTCTTTCATTGTTTCATAGCCGTCTAGTCCTGTAAACTGGGTCAGAACGTTTTCACCAGGAAGTGAAGAAAACATTTAGACTGGTTAGCTGTTAGCAGTGAGTCTACGTAGCGTTTTATCAGCATGTTAGCAACATAGCAAATGAACTCTGTGCTGGCGCTGAGTGCATATTAACAACAATAGTGATGCGTGATTGTGATTGGCAGTAGCATGTTAGCAGCATGTTCCCACCATGCTAGTGGTGAGTAAGAAAGTCACATTCTATCAATGCTAGGCTAACACTGCTAAAGCTAAGCCCACGATAAGAATTTTGTAACAGTTTTATTCTTTGACGTGACATCATCCCTTCAGGCATAATTTAAAAAGAACCGATGATGTCAGACAGATTTATTTATTTTGTTCTCATAATGACCTCCTCTGCTCGTCTCCGTGTTCCCCAGACGGAACGGTCAGACACTCGTCCATGTGACCGTGAAGTAGACGTAGGACGTCGCCCCCTATCAGGAAACCTGTAGAAAAAGACAAGTTGAACATCGTGTTTTGTGTGTAAGATTTACAGAAATTCATTTTAACATCCAGAGCATCATTCTGGACCTTGTGCAACTTCACTCCCAGAACAGATGGGGGCGACGCTCCACAGAGTCTGCTGGAAGGCCGCGTCCACATGTAGGCTGCCGTTACCATAGGACAGATGCTACAGGAACACAGACCTGACAGGTGAGTGATGAGCTTACACACACACACACACACACACACACACACACAGCGTGCTGGTACTCACCAGATATCTCTCTGATGAGATGCTGACCAGGATGAGATCATCTCCGACCCTGACCTTCTCTCCCTCTGAACGCTGCTTTGATGCTGGGTGGATGGTCCACCAGCACGCCTCGCCTACACACACACACACACACACACACACACTCGGTGAACCATCTCCACAGCAGAGTTCACAGAGAGAACCAGTGATGTCACTGTCTGTGACGGCGTCTACCTGTGGTGTCTTCCTGCAGTCCAACGTCAAAGGCTAGTTTGTCAGTGGAGGACCGTGAGGTGGACAGACAGCAGAGGTACTGGACAGAGGACACACAGTTGGACCAGAACATACTCCATGATTTTACCCACAATTCCCAGGAGGACAAAGTTGTGCTCAGGTTAAATCAGACTTTAATCATTCTCCTTCAGACACTAGAGGGCGCACATGTGCTTTCTGACTGACGTTGGTAATTAACGGAAATCACTTTAAACACAATGCTAACGCTGGGCTGCGTGTGTGTGTGTGTGTGTTGACCAACCATTCCACTGTAGGAGTGTCTCAGGAGGACAGCATGTCCATACAGTAAGGTTCTATGACCTCCACCCTGGGCCGTCTGAGGGACAGAGAGAGGGCGAGGGAGGGGGAGCGGAGAAGAGAGAGCGAGAGAGGGAGAGAGACATTAAAAAGACATGTCGTCCCTGAAGGGAGAGACAACAGCAAAAGAGACACTTAAAAAACACTGTAGACTGAAAAAACAGGAAAACAGAGACAGAAAGGAAGTGAGTGTGGGGAGTGTGGGGGGGGGTCATTGTTGATACCATTAGTATTCACAACGAGCAGCTCCATGTTTGGAATCTCTGCTGCTGGAGAATCTTCTGTTTGTTTAATGACCTGTCGTTCCTGTTGGTACTGACATCAGCACAGAACCATCAGGGACATTTCAAACAGGTTCCTAATTTCCACACGTCTGGTTCTGGACCAGACGTGTGGAACGACCTGAGAGGGTTCATAATTAATTAATAATTATTTAAAAAATCTAACTTCCGCCATAAAAGTTTTCTAATCCAATAGAGTCTGTACCAGGAGTGTTGTAGCTAACGTTAGCTCTGACTGACGAAAACAGTTACTGCCACCTAGAGGATGAAGTGTGTGCATCAGTGTTACCAGAGTGACAGAATTTAGGGAACATTAAATACGGAACTTTTGTCAAATTCTTTTGAAGAATTGAAAGCTTTAACGCCCCAGCTCTTGTTAGGAACAAGTGTCCATGTCCAGACAGGACTCATCAGGACCTGGAACCAGACTCTGAGGTGACCTGTGCTGACTGTACAGAACGACAGACACTGACAAACTCTGCTGACGCTGCTCATGCTCATGACTTTAAATGTCAACACAAGAGACGAAAAAACAAAAACCCAAACAGAATCAGACAGACAGAGGGTGGAGGCACCTACCCAGATCTCCACATCTACATGCTGTGTGGAGGTGAGAGAGGAGGAGAGACAGAGAGAGGAGGAGAAAGACAGGAGGAGGAACACAGGAAGTGAGACAGAGAGAGGAGGAAGACAGGAGGAGAGACAGAGAGAGGAGGAGAAAAGAGGGGAAAGAGAGTGGCCATGGTCAGTTCACTGACGAAACATCCAAAATAATAACTTAAAATTAGGTTAAAATAACAAACAGTTTCAATCCAACAGCTGGAACTGTTGGATGAGGATGTTATGAAGCGTCATTTAGAAAAACATGGCTCAGTGACAGATAGCTTAGTTACAGAGTTACATTTGTGTAAGTTGGACTGTTTTTAAGAGTCATAAAATGTTGCTGCAGTGATGACATCAGCAGAAGTGAGGGACCATGGGAAATGAGAAGCAGCTCAGGATGAAGCTTAAGGAAGCAGATCTGGTGATTAGGTGTTTGTGATGTACGTGCGTGTGCGTGTGTGTGTGTGTGTGTGTGCGCTCTCTCACCCCATCAGCCTTGTCCTCAGTGTTGGCCAGCATCTCCTGCAGAGCCCGTACTGACAGAGACTGCTCCAGGACGAAGGTACAGATGGAAAGATCTGGAGGAACATTCTGGAACAAACACACTTCACTGATTGGTACATTTAAAGATTTTTATTTACATTTTTGGACAAACTTTAGCACAAACATCCCCTTCAGTGATATTTAACTAGCTTTTTGATTTTAGCCTGTAGGAACTACAGTGCACATGGCTCCCACTAGTGGCATATTATTATTATTATTATTATATGTATATACTGTGTGTGTGTATATATATATATATATTTAGATAGATAGATAGACAGATAGATAGATAGATAGATGTACTAATATTATAAGCAATGAAAACTCTTTTTTGTAAACTGTCTTGGCTGAACAATGTTGGTCTGAGCCTGGAGGAACAATGTCCTAGTGGTTCTGGAATGACTTTACATTAGTTCTAAACCCAAACAGGAAGTGACTTAGTTCTGTCGTCATCGCTGTACCTTAGAGTTAGAGATGGACTCAAGGAAACAGAGTCTGTTTCCAAATCCTTCAGCAGCCAAACACAGTTTCTGTTGTTCCTTCTGGATGGTAGTTGAGCACTGAAGAACCACCTCATCATCCTGAAGACCGAGAGAGAGAGAGAGAGAGAGAGAGAGAAGCACCATCAGATCAGTAGTAGGTCCATCTTAATGCATAACTTACCAAAAACACCGTGTCACATTAAATCACATAGAAAAAAACCCAGTGATTTCAGCTCACAGCCAACATCAATTCCATACAGTAAAAGAGAGATTGTGCAACAGCAAAAGACTGCAGAATAACAAAAGGGGCAATCAAACAAAGCCACAACAAAGCATAAAATACAGTATAAAATAAAGCTGTCTATTAACACACACACAAGGTATGTGTTCATGAGCAAAGCTATGAATTCCAGCCTTCTATGGAGAGAGAGAGAAAGAGAGAGAGAGAGAGAGACCATGCAGAGGCAGAATCATCCCACATGTCCCTGGTGTTAGAGCTGCTGAAGCCTCACCTCACGTTTCTCACAGAGGTTTTTCTAAAATAAATCCCTGCCTTCACTCTTAGCAGATTTTTGTCTTTGTCTCTTTCTGTCCCTGCTGTTTATCTCCCAGTACCATGTACGTTAATGTTTCCTGGTCCGACTGACTCCACTGTGAACCTGAGGTCGTGTTTTATTTGGTCTTATTTTCACATGAGCCACAGTGAAACCTGAATATGTTTTTACTCTGATGTGAGTGAAGCCTGAGCCTCTGTGCTGTCAGCTTCC